TCATGAAGAAAATATGCTTTGTACTGTCTCCCATCTTCATGGAAACCTGGGTTAGCAAATTATTTTTTAATATATTCTCATTCTGAGACTTCTTGTGGAAGGAGATCACATTTTCCAAGTAATTATAAACCAATGAAATTCCTAGGAGCTATGTAAATAAGTACAAATAGATAAATCACTACATATAGGAGATCATCATATATTTTTTAAAGATTTATTTATTTGTGCATACAGAACTGGGATACAGGCCAGAGGTGCAAGGGGTATTGAGAGGATTCAAGAGACAGAGTAGGGAACAGAACAAGCAGATTGATGAAATACACTGTTGAGGGGAGCAGAGGGCGGGTCAGGAGAGGTCTGCCAAGGTGTGTAGATCACCTCCGGGGTTGGGGATCAAACTCTGCCGAGGTAGCTTTACCTTCTTTAGTGCTGTGCTTTAAACTGCTGTGCCACCAGGGAGGACCCAGATCATAATTTTTTTTTTTAAAGATTTATTTATACAGAACTGGGGTACAGGCAGAGATGCGGAGGGTGAGAGGATTCACCAGGTACAGAGCGAGGAGCAGAACAGGCAGATTGACAAAATACACTGCTGAGGGGAGCAGTGGGCGGGTCAGGAGAGGTCTGCCGCGCCATGTGGTCACCTCCGGGGCAGGTGGGGATCTAACTCATGCGGAAGTGGCTTTAGCTTCTTTGTGCTGTGCTTTAACCCGCTGCGCCACCAGGGAGGGCCCCAGATCATAATATTTTTAATGAATTAAAATAATGTGGGTGGTTGTATTCATTAAGGCCTTTGTTTATAGAAGATAGAAATCTTAACACAAACTCTATGTAAAGTATAATTTCTGTCTCAATTCCAAGGGTTTTGGATGCTGTTGATTTCAGGCACATTAGGATCCTACTATTTACTCAGGGTTTTAGGAGCCCCCCCCCCCACTTTGTCATTTCTCACTCCTCATTACTTTATTGTTGACTTTTGAGTGAGGTGCTTTCTACATGTTTTCAGATATGAGACATGGCAACTTGAAATTATTTCCCTTAGTTTCAACTATTTTCTCAATAGCTCTAAAAACCACCTAAAATGACTTTGGCTGACATTGCTAGGCTATTGATAGAGGCACCTAAATTGTCTCTCCCCTCACTCATTTTTACTGTGTCCTTAGAAATAGAATCCTATATGTTGACCTATGGCACTCTAGAATAAATCATGCCATTTCTCAGCCCCTTTGAAACTTGTCATTATGTGACAATGGAATGGAAGCAGAAGTATTATCTTATGTGGGACTTACAGAAGACTAAAGAGAATTTCCTCAAAGTACAAGGGCTCTATAGATTAGATAGGATAGATAGATTAGATAGATCAGATGGATAGATATCTGTATGTATAAATATATATGTGCATTACATACAAAACCCTCAACATAGGTACACAACTTAGATTCTGAGTAATTATAAGTAGACATATAGATTGGAAGGCAGGAAAGGAGGGAGAGAGAATGGGAGAGAAGTGTGTATTATATACATATTTATATATAAAAATATGTGTGTATACATACATATATATGTATATGGAGTATATATGATGTGGATGAGAAATGCACATATAAAAATATAGATAACCTTTCTCTTCCAGTCCTGCAATATGATGGATCTTGTGCTAATAGTCTTCTTCCCATCAGGTGATTAAGAACATATTTAGGATGGTGGTACAGAATGATATATGTCTGGGTTGCTGAGGCCATCAATTGACCCCCATGGAGCCTCCCTGAATTGCCCTTGCCCGCATCTAGGTATTTAATAACTATCTTACACAAAATTCCTAGATTGTGTTGTTCTATTGATACCATAGTAAACATTTTCCTTTTTGTTTCCTTTTTATTTACAATTAATACACAGATATCCACACACCAACACCCACACCCATGTATATCTTTTATTTTTAGCCTTCCCATATTCATTTATTACTCATAGTAATTTGTAGATTCCTTTGTATTCCTTTTGGTATAAAGAGAATCTAAAACATTTCTTCAACATCAGCCTTCTAGTCCTCATCCCTAGTTTTTGCTTCTAAATTAATTGTTACCAATAACGTTATCTTTTTCAGAAATAGCACAGGCATACTCAAGAACCAATACTGTTGCAATATAAACCAAAAACAGTTCTACATGCTGCTGGTCCGCAAATTTATGCTGGTAACTACAATTTATGTGAACACATATTAAACAAAAAAACATATTTTCATTGATATAGTTGCTTTTTCTGTAATACAAAAAAAAGAAGAAATAAGGCATCACTCCAATATATTTTATCAATATGAATTAATGAAATTTCTACATATTGTGAGAACTTTACTTGAATATTGTAATGTGGGACTATATGTGTTCTACTCCACACTTAGTTTCTTTGGGAGTTCAGTGATTTTCAATTGTAACTGCTCATTGGCAGCTCCACACTAGTTTTAATAAAATACTGATATTTGAACTTTACTAAAAGATTAATTTTATTGATGCAGTGTATGGATTTGACAAAAGAGTTTTTTAAAGCTCCCCAGATGATTTTAATGAGTAGCCAATTTGAGAACTGCTATTTTTGACTCTGCTCTGTTTTCTGTGTGTTTGCATACAGCACAGGCATGGGTGAGTGTATGTCTTCTCAAGGGAGATTTTAAATGCAGAACTAGTCTACATAGTTTGCATTTGTTTTTAGACAATATTTAAATCTAATGTAAATAACACCTGAAAAGAATGAATAAAACTAATACTATACATTAGGTTCAGAGAAATTTAACTAGTAACAATTGAAAATAGAAGTTTTGTATTAAATTATATAAATGACTATTTCGTTGTAGCAATTGAAATGCATTTCTCTGAATCTACTGCTCTATTGGAATGTTATTTAAATTCTAATTATCCTCACACACATCTGGAATGACTGAAGTATACAGAAGGCCACATAGAAATGTGGCCAATTTTAAGTCGATTTTTAATCTAGAATTATCTGTAGCATAGACCAAAAGATATATTATAATATAGTGCTCAACATAGTGGCACAAGAGGATTCTGACTAATCATAAGCAGGCAAGTAGGTAGAGAGGCAGGAAAGGAGAGAAGGGGAAAGGGAGACAAATGCAGATTATATAGTTTTTTATATGTGTATGTATCTATGCTTATATTCATGTATGTGCAATATATAAGGAGTATGTGTGATGTGGGTTTATATATGAATGTGTGTATGTTATCAGAAATGCATGTGAAGTTTGTAATGATGACTTTTGTAGTGAAATTTTTCTGTAGTTTGATTTAAATATAAATTTCTTCTTTGCTTTTGTAAGAATGCATATTTTTGCCATTTACTTGAATGCACATAATAATGAATTCTAGTGATTTTTTTTTTTAAAGATTTATTTATTTGTACATACAGAACTAGGGTACAGGCCAGAGGCTTAGGGATGGTGAGAGGCTTCACCAGAGACAGAATGGGAAGCAGAACAGGCAGATCAATGAAATACACTGCTGAGGGGAGCAGCAGGCAGGTCAGGAGAGGTCTGCCATGCCATGTGGTCACCTCTGGGGCAGGCGGGAATCGAACTCATGCGGAAGTGGCTTTAGATTCTCAGTGCTGCACTCCAACCCGCTGCGCTACCAGGGAGGGCCAAATTCTAGTGATTTTTAAAGACTGAATATGATCATGTTTGTGAAAATTTTTAGCCATGAGGTCAATAGACCCTCAATAGATAATCATTGTCAAATTTTCATAATTATACTAAAATCATTTTTATTTCATAACCTTTTATATTCAACAAGCTATTCAAATAGACACATTTTGAAGTAGAATAGTAACCACCATCAAAGAATTTACCTTCTCCTTTAGTTAATTAATCTTATTAGTCTGATTCATGAAACATTTACTATCTCTAATATGTCAGAGAATGAGAATTTGATAAATATGTAAAAGGAAAATGTGGGCTAAATGTTTTATTGACATTGTAATTTTTGTTGTTATGGAATTTATACTATCTTAATATTTTAAACACTTGCTGCTCATTGTGTTTCATAGACCAAGGGCAATATTACTACTTATGCACCTAACAGAAATCCAGATCAACTCAATCACAACCTCCACTTTGCCAAATCATCAAGTTACTTATATGTGTATACATTAAAGTTTTTTAAAGTACTGCTTGAGACTACATAGAGTGAGATATTGCTCTGAAGATAATGAAAAATATATGTGACCTAAATTTAAATTATTGTTACATGCATTCTTATTCTGGCTCCTATACATACATATAAGTTAGATTTTTTATAAATAGAACTAAGTCAGTGGTAATTTTTTTTTTATATTGACTGTGCCACTTAATGGTAGTTGAAATTCATTCTAAGTTCCTAAGCTTCTAAGAATCTTGATTTATCATTTGTAAAGTGAAAGGCTAGTTAATACTTCTCCTGGTACTCAGTGATATTGTGAAATGACTATTAATTTTCTAGTTCTGACTATCTTACCTTTTAGGCACTCTTGAAATCAGTTAAGTGCAGAGTTAACCATAGGTAGCTACTCAGAAGAACTTTTTAGGGAAGAAGACAAGATAACAACCTCAGACTTTTAGGGAAGAAGACAAGATAACAACCTCAGACTTTTATTTTGTTATTTTATTTTAGAAAGAGAAGGTGGCTTAGGGAGGGTGTGTCCTATAGAGAGGATAATGTTGGATAATGTTGATTTTCTTTTGATTGATTAATTTCAGTTGACTTTGCCTGGGTATTCCAGTTATTTGCTTTCTAATTAGTCTGCAATGACTAAGCATCACCAATCACATAAAATAAGGCAGAAAAATGAATTTTATTCATCACATGCTTTCAATTTATCCTAGGGATGCTTCTTAGCATGTAACTGAACTAAGTTATGAGGAAATGTCATATGCCTTGGACTTGGCAATCAGGTGTCATGAGGGATATCTTCATGGAAATCAATGATTCAAACCCTGGTTCTTTCCACTACAGATAAAAAAACTTGTGGACCTCATGAATTCCAGTGTAAAAACAACAACTGTATTCCAGATCACTGGAGGTGTGATAGTCAAAATGACTGCAGTGATAATTCAGATGAAGAAAACTGTAGTAAGTAACCGTTGTCTGAAAACATTGCAAGCTTGATGGCCTCTTCAATAAGTTAGGTGGAAAGTTTTAGTTCAGTTAATATATGAATTTGAACCTATCTGTCCTATAGCTCATATTTTTATACATATAGTCACATTTGGACCAGAATATTCAGATTAAATTGAGCTGCATCTCAAATGGTAGAATTATTGAAATTCTTATCCTGGGAGTTATTTTCTTACAGTTATCAGAATTGGTATAAAGGTATCATGAGGTTTAATGCAGCCCATTAGCATGCACTGAAGGAAGCCCTTGATGCAAGTTCATACAAAGAGTTGAATGATGTGAAGACAGTGTAAGATATATCATTCTTTAACGGAATGTATTCATTTCATTTTAGTCTCAAATTCTTTTATACTACAAATTTACCCAAGAGGATCTTTCGGTGAAATATCATTTATTCTCTCCGGATTGGTGAACATCATGTGTATTCAGGATGCTATTCTCTGTGAACAGAATAATACTATTATCATCATCTGCCTTCTCAAATTTTATGTAATATTTTTTTAAAAAAATTACCCAATAATTTTATTTCCTAAAAAGTAATGGTAGTTTATAAAATTCTGACAATTTCTATATACTATAGAATCAATGCTGATAGCTATAACTATATTAATGGTACATTAGTAATACTTTTTTGAAATGATATTTTAAAAAGGAAAGTAATATAACCGTGTTTAAAATAAAATAAAGAAATCCCATATGTTAAGTATTTATAATTGCTACTTCAAAAAATATTCATAACAACAATAATGTCTGTTCTTATATTTCTTTACATTGATTGGGTTTAGTACATTCATCTCCCTGGAGGTGTTTATATATAAAACCAAACAATTACTAGAATTACAGTGAATATACCAGTTCAAGTTCAGTTTGCAAAATATCCACTGGCTTGAATGACTTTAAAAGTCATTCAAGTGTTTGAGAATCAGTTACAGTAATTATGAAATCTCTGTATCATTATGATAATGGAATGCTCTGAATATCGGAAACTTTATTATTCCCTTTCCACAGAGAAGATATCTCCCATATGAGCATAGTCTTTAGAAAGGTAAAGAAAGTTGAATATTGTCTTAGAGTTCTTTTCCTCTAATTGGCAAAATTTAAAAAACTTTTTTAGCTGGTTGTTCTCAGTTTCTGTCTAGTGAATAAAATTAAAATCAGAATGAAGATGGTAGGAATAGAAGAACAAATACACAAAAATCATATACATATATACATTCATACATACATGTGTGTATGTATGTATATGTACACACACACACACATATATTTGGTACTAGACACCTTACAATAACTGCCTACCTTAAATTTAGATACATTTAGTGCCAATTATCTGTAAGATCTAGAAGAGGAAATACCATGTAACTGAATGATATTGAGAACCAGAGAGAGTAAGTTAGAAGGCAACATTGGCAAATTCCATCCTGGAGAACTTGCTTTTCAAGCGGTAACTGCAATTGTGTGAGACATTTGATTACTGCTATAATAAGCAAAGAAGAAGAATGAAGGATTGTGATAGTCTGCTTTTGAGTCTGCTGGGGTTTCCTAAGTGGTTGAAAATCATTTTGCTGACATCTCCTAAAAGTCAGCCTTCGATACAAGTAAGCAAAGCAAAGGAACACTACTCTCTCTTGTCACTGTAGAAACTTAATGATAAATCACTGTAGCCACAGAGCCCCTTACAAAAAGCAAGGAAAGTAGCTGCACTATCAAGCATTTCAGTATAAAATACCCAATTATGTGTGGCTCTCTTTTAGTTCCTATTCACTCAGAACTTGTGGTATAAGACAAGCAATATTGATGAATTTGCAGAGGAAAGATGACAGTGAACAAGAATGAAACTTATTATAATTGTAAAATGGAAGAATAGGCAGCACATGCAGGGCAACATCAGTGTTTGATAACATGTTAAACATGTGAAAGTGTGTACTCGAAGAAGGGTCAAGGTATCTCAGATAACTGAGTGATCAAAGATATCATCTTGAGTAGGTCAGAAGATGTGAGGAATCTTAAGTTTGTAGTCCTACTTGGGCAATAGATGAGTCATTGAAGAATGAAAAATTAATGCAATATATATGTAGAAAGCAGCAAGAGATAAGTCTTAACAAATATCAGCATTAGAGATAATACTGCTGCTATATTAAAATGCTGTCAAGAAATTTCCAATATCTTATTATAGATTGAAGTTTATTATTTGTTTGTTATTGTGATTATATAGTATAGCATACGTGTATGTTTGAGTGTAATTAAAAATATACTGGTGATAAAAATATATCTAGAAAAGCAGTGACACACTTTTGTCATACTCTGTAAACATCAATTGTTGAGGTAGACAGTTTGATTCACATTTGGTAGTTACTGCTAGTTTTTATTAATTAGTAAATTATAAGATAAATAGTAAATCAGCCTTATAGATAAAGCTACAGCAATAGTATTTCTTAACTGTCTGCATTTCATCACCCAACATTAACTGCCTGGTAATGTTTTCATCACATTCACCTGATCCCATTTAAGGAATAGAGTTGTATTTCGGGTCTAGCACAGTGCCTGATATATATTTATAATAGGAACAATATTATAAAAATACTTTTAAGCTATTTTGTTTTACAAACTTGATTTAATGAACTTACTTTTTAAATTATAACAGAAACACCAGAAATAGGTAATAACAGTTTAAATTGTAGCACAATTGACAACTATGTTTAATATGCTTTGTTTTTTTTAATTTATATGAGATAATTAGGCTGTTATTATTTCATCATCATATGCTGAACATTTCCCTTCTTGTCATTAGAGATCTTTGCTTCAGCAATGATTTCTGCTTTTAAAAATAAGAAAATTACATTTGATAATCCAGACCTTATGGGTTTGGAAATGTTTGACAAGTTTAACCTATATTATCTTTATTCAGCAACTGATAAAATATTTATGGCACATGTGCCATCTATAGTAATTGTCATGAAAAATAAATTAATTGCATATTTGCATTATTAAGAAGTAACAATACAATAAATTTTAAAATATTGAATTATTTAATCAACTAGATTTAAGTTCACATAAAGTGACAAGTTATATTTGCCTAGATTTCATTTCTAGTACTTTCACACTAAATTTATGTCAGACAATTATTTATATGATATGTCAATTATATTAATTGTGTGCTAAAAATTCTCCTCAGATTACTTACACCCACATTCATATAACTTTTGAACTTATAACCAAGTTTTGTGGTAATAAACTAAGCAGAGAAATTGGAGCCTGGGAATCTCTCTGTTCAGCTACTAATTCTACGATTCTGAAACATCACTTTTATTTCTAAAACTTAGTTTTTTTTGGCATTGTGCAAAATGAATTCCAAAACTATTTTCCATTCTGAAACTGTAATGAGTTTGCCTCCATTGGTATCAAAGAAGTGGCCAGTCTACATGATGTCCCTATCCTTTTTCTTCCCATAGAATCCAGATCAGGTCTCCAAAACATGGAAAACCTATAAAAATATATTTGTAGCCAATCTGGCATGTTTATATGAGATTAATTACAAATATGGTTTGTTCATGTATGGGATTGTTCATGTATGGGATTCCCTATCAATTCTAAGGCTGGAGTCATAGGCCATGTAAGAGAATTTGTATGGAAAACAATTGAGAAATACTGGGTAAAATATGACATTCATATTATCTATTCAGATGAGTAGACTTCAGGTACAGTCAGTTTTTCTTTTTTCTTTTTCTTTTTTCATAATTTTCACAGAAAACTGCTTACTAGCAATTGGATTTTTACTTTATGCAGAAAAGATCTATATTACCATAAAATAATAGGAATAAAGTCCCTAGACTTTCCTTCAGTTTTTTTTTTTCTTGGTTATATCTAGTTGCATATAGATGAGAGTTAAAAACAGAAGTTCCCCTATTCCTTGATGACATGTGGGTATGTATAAATTATTCATGATTATTATTCAGAAGTAGATTGCTGGCATTTTTAAGAACATGCTAGAAGTATGCAGAACTTACAACTCCACTGGAAAAAAAAAATGTGATTTCAACAAATTACTTATTTCCTTTGTCCCCTTATTGAAACAGAATAATTAGTGATCTAGGAAAGTCTCTAAAGCACAAGTGTTTTCTGTAACTGTTTGGCAACTACCTCAAATTACTGACTTTATAACTTTTAATAATCTTGTATGAATAGCATTCAGCCTTTCTTGTACAAAGTGTGTAAAAGACTGTAAAATCATTACTGAACACATGATGAACACAATTTTTGTTAAATAAGATAAAGATAAGTTAGAATATAAAGAGTTAATCCTGTTTAAAAACTCCAAACCCATAATATTAACTGCTTCTATTGCTATTTTTAACTTCCAATTACAGTATGTTTTACTCTCTTTTTAATGACAATCTTTTTGGTTATTTTTAATTGTTAAATAACTTGTGCATATTTTGCTGTAATTTTCCCTAAGAATATAACTGTCTGTATGAGTAAGTAGAAGGAGAGTGACCTGGACTGAAAAATAAGAGAAATGGTGTTCATTTTTTCCTTATTTGATGTAATAAGACTTTGCTAGCTGTGTGCTATGGGCAAGTAACTTTCCTTCTCAAAGATTGAATGTTAGTGTCTGTATTATGTGACACTTAGGTGAGCAGTAAATCCTCACATAGTGGAAGAGCTATGTGAACTCTTCCACTTGCTGTGTTATATAAAATAAGATCCTTAGCAATTTACTCATCTGAAAGTGGGTACAATAATAGCATCTTATGTGTTTATTCAAGTTCCTAGCATTAATTTTCCCTGTTGCCTCATAACAAATAAATATTTAGTAGCTAGTGGTTATTAATGTTATAATTTGTAATATTAGTAATGGTATGAATGAAGCTTTTGTAAGATTAAAGCACATATGTAAACAGCAGAAAATCAATGAAAAACCTACTGTCATCATGAAACAACAGGGGAACATGAAAGAAGCCTTCCAGTTAGTGAGTTTCTACCATTCTGCAGGATGACATCTTATCCTGAAGTTCACATTATATAATAAAGATATTCCCAGAGCAGAAGAGGATTCTCTAATACATAAACACTTTTACAGTTCCTCCACTGTTCTCGAAAGTATCTATATATAAATATAGACATCTTCACTACATCAAACATTTAAGATGTTTCCCTATAGCTGAGTGATGATGTAGTGTAATATCCAAACGCAGCCTCAATTAATCATGCTCTTTGTGCAGGAAATTAGACTTTATGTGCATTTTTCTTCACTTTTTATTTCAGTTATCTGTCCTTCCCTTACCCAAATGAATATATTATAATTTGTCAGGCAACTACTAATTAACTTAATGAGTAGAGTAAATAAGAAGGGACTGATATCATGCCAGATATCAGTTCTTTTTAAAGAACAAAGCTAAAAAAGAGATGATCTCTAGCAGTCATACTGACAACTTGAAAGGACAGACTTCTAAATGTTCACTTCATTCTCCAGATTAAACATATTCTACTTGGGAATAAGTCAAAAAGCTTGTCATAACCTGGCACTATGTCCTATATGACTTATGGTGAGCCATAATTAAGTCATAACTGGCAAATTACTAAAATGACAATTAAATGCTCTGGAATGAACAGGCTGTTGTATAAACAAGTGGATAGTTTTTGTAAACAGTCTTCTGCCTCTTTAACCCTTAGCCATCCATCCCATCCACAACGTTCTCTTTTTGCTCCATGAATGTGAAGATTTAGAAAGCCACTAGACTATAAAATTAAAGAACCAAAGGCTAGACTCACTCCTCAGTTAATAAACAGCCTCCTGGGTACAGAGATACAAAATGTCTTAGTTAAAATAAATGCATTAAAATGACTTAGAATTCAAACAACTGAAAAATATTGTCATCCTATGACATGTATATTTTTATGCTTTTACTTTACTGCTATGTTTTAATTAAATACTAGGCTATTAATGTTTTTTTTTTTCAGTTTTTTTAATAATACCACTTTCTACTAATGACTTTTAAAATGAAGTTGAAAAATCATTATATAACATAGATGTTTCATGAAACATTTTTCTTTAACAATGTATTGTTTCTGATTTCCTAACCTCTTTTTCCTTACTGCTACTTCATGGTGTATGTCATCTAGAAAAAGAAAGCAGCTGCATGTAATAGAATAATTCTATACTATTTTTTCTCTCCCCAGAGCCACAGACCTGTACATTGAAAGATTTTCTTTGTGCCAATGGGGATTGTGTTTCTTCAAGGTTTTGGTGCGATGGAGATTTTGACTGTGCAGATGGTTCTGATGAGGTAAGCATCTTCGCGAAATCAAACAAAATGGAAAGCAATTCTTTAGAGTTACATTCATAATTAACATTGGTTAATCCACTGAGTCTGGCCAGGGCAGCTCTGAAATGCTTTTTGCTCCTGAAGTGCTGAGAACAGTGGTCTATGCATACACTGTTCTGCACACACCAGGCAGGGAATAGTTCTTGTGCTTCTACTGACAGTTAATTTTATAGTCTGTTTTAGCTCAAGTGGTGAATGGCTGAGTTGGGAATAAGATGTTTGGAAACCCTATTCCCTACAGCTGATGCCCTTGCCATTTGTGAATTTGTTCATAAATTTTCTGCAGTATTTATAGTCAGGACTAATATTTTTATGCATTTTAAACAGTTTCTTCTCCCCAGTTGCTTCCTTCGGTAGATATCACCATGTAGACTTCGATGTGGGTCATCAATTTTTATGAAACTACAGGGTTAGTTTTATTTAGATGATGAATCACAATCCATTTATAATAAGGCCTGTATTCACATAGCTTTAATGAAAAAGACTAGAATTTCTGTGAATAGTTCTGTAAACTTACATTGTGATCATTGTGCCAGCATTCCTAGTCCTCTTCTTAATGCATTATTTATTTATCTGTATGTTTTGGGTTTCAGCTATTAATTATGCAATGATGCCTTCAGAATAATATATCACATGTTTTTATAGATATTTCATCAATCTAAATGACCCTAGGACTCCTTTCCAGTATCAGTTGCTTTTCATGACTTTCTCTATTAATGATCGTCCAGATTAATCTAAGAAACAAGGTGATTGAACAATAAAGTCAAGTCAAAGATGAAGGAAAAACAGGTTGCTGCTGTGTTGCTACCTCAGCTACTTATGAGATACCGCTCTGTATGTGTGTGTACACTCCACATGAAAGTCCAACCATTGACTATAGAATTTGCTAAAGAGAATTTTCCCTGCTGCTTTCAAGGTTTGTGTGTTTCAGGTCCAATTTCCTTAGGCATTCACTGATTGCCAGCCTCTTTGGAAAATAGGCAGGTCCTTACTAGTTCTTTCCCAGTTTCCAAGTATTCTTACCAGGATTGAATAACTCTTTTCTATTCTCTCATTGTCTTGGAAAAATCCTCCTAATCACATTCAGGATTCTAGATTTTAGAAATAAATGCATTTAACTTCTAACCTGACAGCTAACAAATCTAAACCTTGTGGTTACAAAGTTCTTTCAGAAGTTGAAAAACACCACTTTTAATCCTGGGACTGTTCAGAGAATTAATCAAAACAAAAATTTTGAAAAAAATATACCAAATTAAATTCTTACATGTTCCAGCTACTATCTAACATTCACTTAAAAATAAATTTTGTATATATAAATAAACATTTTTTTTTTAAATGTTAAATGTTTCCAGTGAGGAAAACAGATTGCATATAAACTTTTCAAATTATCTTGTTTTTGCTTCCACAAGCCCTGTTAATATATCAAGTGTTAATATAGGAATATATGATTTAAGGTTTATGATTTCATCTTTCATGTTATTCACTAAAGGTCCAACGTACATATTCAGAACCAAGGAGTTACTAAAAATTGTATTCAAGTGAAAGTAAACAAATGGTATTAACCTTATTTTCTCAGATGACACAAATTCATGGACATAGTTCATTGATGACTAAATATATCTCCATTATCTAGGCATTTTCATGATAATGCCCCAAGCCAATAAAGTTGAGTGTCTTAAAAGTGATCTTTCTCTGTGTTGATATCTACATAGTCTTTATGTAATAAAGTGGCTGACATTGTGTGCAATGATTTCTATTTTCTTTCTGCAGTTTAAAATGACAGTTTGCATTGACAAAAAGAAACTAAGATGCCAGCAAGCAATAAGGAGAACTGAAAAAATATTTAGCAGAATTACATACAGGATTTTCTCTTATTAGGAGAGAATGTGAACTGATAGAAAAAGTAGTTTGTTAAAATCCAGCCAAAACAATAAAAATGAAACCATAATAGTGTTCAAGTTAGTGGCATAACTAGAGAAGTATTTAAAGTAACTCAATAAAATATTTGTCTTCTGAATCCAGTATAATATATAGGAAGGACCAAAAAAATACAATGCAAAGGACTCAAGCTCTTGATTTATTTAGTAATAGTATTGATTTGCTTTGGAAACTCAAAGAGATTGAGAGTAGAATAGTTTAATTGATTGAATCACATTAATAATTTAGTACTCGAAAATTATAAGCAAAGTAAAAGAGATATAGAAGTAGAAACTAAAAAAGTAAAAATGTTATAATATCAATTCAAAAGTGTCATATAAGATTTTGATTTATGCTTCTCTTAGCTGTGACACAAAAAATCCTAAAGCTAATGACAACGAGGCAGTGAAAACTTTCCTTAGCATTCATATAGTGGCCTCTAAATAACATTTCCCAAGTAAAGTAAACAGAATTCCTTTGAGAAATGTCTAATGCTAGGTTTTGAGAAGGAAAATTGACAAAATGAATCATTGACATCTTGTCATGTCAGAAAACAAGACTATTAGGACAGTGTCTAGAAAGCATATGAATGAATTTAAAAGGATTTCTACTGATTGCGAAGACAAGAGAGAAGAGTTATCTCAACACAGTAAAAGTCTAAAAATACATGAATTCACAAAACTTGAGAGATTGCTAAGGTATCAGCATTCTTAGGGTTCAATGAACAAAACTGATAATGTCTCACTTTGTATAAAACAAATGGTCTGTTTTCTTCAAGTAAAGACTGGCGTTTAGAAAACTACAAGGTGAGAAATAGTTATACATTAAAAAGAACTGCAGGGGCCTCCCTGTTGGCACAGGGGTTAAAGTGCAGGACTATGAAGGGATCCACAGCCACTGCAGCACTGCAGCACAGGTTCAATCCCTGGCTAAGGAAAACAGTCCCTGGCAGGGAGGTGATCCACATGGTGCAGCAGACCTCTGCTGTTTCTCCTGTTGCTCCCCTCAGCAGTGTATTTCAGTCAGTCTGCCTGTTCTGCTCTCTACTCTGTCTTTGGTGAATCCTCTCACCCGACACACACACACACACACACATGTATGTGTGTGTGTGTGTGTGTGTGTGTGTGTATCCTTGTTTTACCAAGTGGTATTTAAGAGTCAAGGAAATGAGGAAGCTTTGAACATAGATTAAGAATAAACTTAGACTGTGGAATCTTTGTTAGTTTGTGATGTTGCTAATTTTATGATCCTACTGTTATATTTTTAAAAAAATCCAGACCATCCTTTAGATGTAGGTGGATATAAAGCATAAATTGTGAATTGTTAATAATTGCTAAGCATGAATAATGGACACATGAGGGTCATTATTATATTCTCTTTGTTAGACTTTAAAGGTCTGAAATAATAATTAAATATCACACAAAAATAGATCTCCTCTATGCACACATAATACACCCCACACATAGAGATATCAACAACACTACCATTTACTATAGGCCAAAATCTGTTGTTGATTACATACAAAAAGTATGCAGAAGTACTAACTTCAGTATTTTAGTCAATACAGATGCTCCATTACCTTTGGTCGTTGAACTATTTTAATCAAATTAGCTTATTGTGCATTAACCATTTATTTTTTCTTCAAATAAATGCTAAGCAGTTAGTATAATCCTGGCATTTTTCTTAGGAAAAATCCTAGTTTCTTGGAAACTGGGTTCACAGGTAAGCTTGACTCCTAACTATACAGACAGATATGAATACCATGGCAGGGGTGCTTAATTACACTTAATAGGGGTGCTATTTTACTTTCTAGTCCTTATTTTTGGCATTTACTACTTCATTCATTCATTTATTCAGCAGATTTTCTTGAAGGCTTACTATTCCCCAGAAATAGTACTGAGTGTGGGAAAAATGATAATGATTAATAATTGTGAAAAACCCTTTTCTTGTCAGTGTATGGATTATTTCTCTAATGTCTTTTATGCCGTTCACCACTAACTTACTTAGCCTTCAGAAACTTCAAATTTTGCTTATCCTTACATATGAAATGCATTTTCTTAGATGGTTCCATTTCTGGTAAAATATCCTCCCTGGAGCCTTTCCTAAAACCATGTCTAAAACCACATCCATATATTTTGGTGATATGTGTATTTTATTACCATTGTTCCTTTAGGTGCTGTTCTTTCCTATTACCTTATCAAATTCAAGGATATTAGTTCCTCTGTATTCTTATTTAAGAAGCTCTCTGCAGTTGATATACTATTAATACTTGGGAAAACAAGATAATAAATAAGGAAAGAGGAAAATAAATTTATAGCAGACACTCTAGTTTAACAACCATCAATCCTGAGAAAATTACAGAATTTAGAAAATTAACGATCCTTAATGGGGATGAATTTGGAAATAAACAGGGAGTGATGGCTTAACATTCTTCACTCACTGGGAGATTCACATGCTGTGAGAGTGTTGCACCTTCTGTGGAAGGAACAGACAAGTACATTTTGACAAAAGTAGAAATTGCTTAAATATAGAAAAAAAATCATGCCAACAAGAAATTTCACTGGAGCATCCCATTCAGCCATGGAGGTCATACTCAAAGAAGGCAAATTTCTACAAAATTACTTGATTGATTTCATATAAATGATTCAAAAATCTCCAAAGATAAATTTGCCATCTCATGTAACTTCCAAATAAAATCCATACGTGAGCTAGCAAAAATGACAACAATAACAGTTCATGTGACAGGTCTTTGGGAACAAATGGCAGAAGGGTGAAGAATGTTTATGAGCAGCAACTAAACTTAAAAGGATGTGTACAGTGGAGAAGTGATGGGGAAAATGGAAAGAACATTAGGAGAATTTGTGATGATGCCAAACATTCTATACTTTGCCATAGAAGTCTTATTGATTTCACATTACATCCTCTACCCCAATCCCTATGGATGAGATACACTGCTTAGAAATATTTTTTAATTATTTATTTCACCAGTCTTCAATTTCACAACCATATTCAAATCACATTACATCATAAAAATTTGACTAATGATCCACAAGGAGAATTTAATCAGTATTTTTTTTGTTTCTATGTTTTATTATGGAGACAAATGGAAGTGAAAAATTACAATAATATTGTTATGTAGGCATGAATTTTAGTACAATCATCTGAGTTTCGTGTGTGTGACAGTTCTGCACAGATTTCTATGCATAGGTTTTCAAAATGACTTTAGAGTATGTAGACATTTGTTTAAATTTTTTATTTTAATTATGTCAGCATGTTATTTTTTGGACAGAGATATTGTGAAACAAGTTGTTCCAAAGATCAGTTTCGGTGTTCCAATGGTCAGTGTATATCAGCAAAATGGAAATGTGATGGTCATGAAGACTGTAAATATGGAGAAGATGAGAAAAACTGTGAGCCAGGTAAACTCATTGAGAGGCTGTCAAATTTATCCAATATTTGACTTTGGAGAATTTTAATGTAAGCAAAAGTCTGCATAAAACAGAAGGAAATGCATTGTTTCACAGGATTTTTTTAAAATATTGTTATGTATGTAAATAAATTAGTTGCCTTTATATGTTTTGGAAGTGTTTCAGCAGTTAAGTTTGTTACAATATGTGGGATCAAAGCATTATTCCCACAAATTTGACATTCTGATTTGTATATCTTTTTATACCATTTGACATTGTTTTGCAAAATAGTAACATACAATATATTGAAATGTAAGTATAATAAAAGTAAGGTTTTTTTGCTGCAGAGGTTAAAGTTATAAAACAGAATATAATGATTTCAATGTGATAGCAAATGGGGGAAAAAGTGTAAGTCTATTGTTTCTCTTTATATCAAAGTAAACGTAGGAAGTAGAACCAGAATAGGAGACAAATAACCCAATACATACATTTCAGCTACTTAAATACAGCTCTGTAAAGATGCTATTGGAGCTTAATTTTTTATACTTTGATAATTTAGTTACATGATTTTATAGACAAAAATTACTGGGGAAAAAATCACGCAATAGTGTATGTGTGTGTGTGTGTGTGTATATATATATATATATATATATGCACACTAGCACTACCTTAAGAGACTAGACTGAATCAGACTAGCAGATACAAAACACACACACATCACCATACTCCTGCACATGCCTATAAGCCTATAATCCATACTGCTAATTGATCACATCTTCCTTTCTTACTGAATCCAGATATGTTTTTAGGTTCCTTATTAATACAGATCCCTAGGCAAAAACAGCCAATTAAAAAGAATTAAAACTCAAGGAAAAAGCTTTTTAGCATCCCTAGACTAAGCAATTTCAACCACAAAGTCATTAGGTAAGTACATTTGGCTACCTAGTGGTCTAATAAAAGGCCAAGAACCCCAGAAGTTTGGATGCAGGCCTAGCAATTCAAACACCCAGACAAAGATAACTGTCACAATTAATTAGATGAGGTAGTGGTAGCTACTTATTTATTCACTTGTTAAATTGTCCATATCATAAGGGATATTTCAAATTCTATACACTGTTGATTATACATATATTCAGGTTTAAAGCCCAAAACAAAACAAAACCTTTTTAGAATTTACAAATATGACATTTGTGTCAACACAGCCAAATAGGTATCATGGGTTCTATAAGAACATACCAAGACTGTCACTTCAGCTTTTTAAAATGCATATGTCAATTAGCATTTCCAGGAATCACTTAAATCCTATTACAGTTCTGAAAATAATTTTAGGCTTTTGTCTTTTAAAATGACTTAATTTAAAATAATGAAAAATTTATCTAAGTGTTCAAAATCAAAGGGATACAGGATATAATGCTTTTATTACTTAATTCTATTAGTTAAATTCATACTGAGCAAGGTTTACATCATCCAAGTATATTTAACACAATGCAGCAATATAATACGTTACATTTAAATGAATATTTAATATCACATATTGAATATACTTTGAATAATAAAAATACTCTCATTACATGCTATGAAAGTTTTATTTGTTTCCATGTGTTTTTATTTATCAAACCAGTTACTCTTCTACTAAATTTAAATCTCAATTTTGTAATTATATTTAGCTTCTCCTACTTGCTCATCAAGTGAATATATATGTGCCACGGGAGGATGTATTTCCGCATCTTTGAAATGTAATGGAGAATATGATTGTGCTGATGGTTCAGATGAGGTAAAATCTATTATTTGATTTAAATCTGAATTGAATGAATTAGGTTTGGGAAAGCAAGTGTAATGTACATAGAGTAAAGAGGCAACATCTTTATTCTTAGCACTATCTAAAATGTTGGACATTGGATGCAAACATTTCAACATGCCCAAATCTTTATCCATCTCTGAGACTCCTTGCCAATTGAAGAGGTTATATTCTTCAAGTCAAAAGAAAAGAAAGCCCACAGTGTAATAAATCCACAGGTTGTCAGGTACATGTTTTCTTTTCTGTGGCTGTACTGTTCCATTAATTAAACTACATGTGTCCACTTTCATTTGGACAGATGGACTGTGTGACTGAATGTAAGGAAGATCAGTTTCGATGCAGAAATAAAGCCTACTGTATTCCAGTTAGATGGCTGTGTGATGGCATCCAGGACTGCGTGGATGGCAGTGATGAAGAGAATTGCGACAGAGGTAAAGTATCTGTGTGCATGTTTGTATGTAAGTGCATATACATCAGGGAATGACCAGGAGCTGTATAGAAAACGGTGGGCCAGAGTCAGGAAAGGATCATTAAATAATTCTTTTACTCTCTTTTGTTATATAATAGTCATTTTATAAATATGACATTTGTGTCGACACAGCCAAATCTATTTATTTTTCCACAAAGTATAAATGTAATCTGCAGATTACAAAGTAAGTGTTTGTTGAATACCTACCTTGAACATGTCTTTGGACTGGATCTTTTGGATTTGATGTATACAAATCAGGTGTAGGGATAGTAACAAGAATGCAGGGATCATAGTCACTAAAGCTATTGCACTAAAGGTGTTTTCAGTGAATATTTCAATTCCATATAGACCCTATCCTGAGAGAATAGAAGCAACATATGGTACACAACAACATATGAGCATAAAGGTTGTTTGAGATATTTCCTTTTTGCCATGTGGCTTGAGAAATTTAGTTACTTACTTTGTCCATCAGGAAGACAACTTCCAGCTTTGAAATATATTATTTTATAGCTTTGTAAAAATATTTTTCTGAGTGATGACTTTTTAGTTAAAAGTCACCACATTAAAAGCAGCAATTATTACTACTTTAGAGTTAATGTGATGAAAGCAAAGCCATTTTGTGGTGAAGCTTAAAATGATTAACTATTTTATAATTCTTGTTATTTTTAAATGTTAAATATGTCGTTCAAACACAAAATTTATTTTATAGAATTAAATGTAAAAATTATTTACTAGCTGTTCAAGGAAAAATTAATTTCTACTTAATTTTTTTAATATTTGATTCTTTTTTCCCCAAATTAGGTTTATTGAGTTAAAGTAGGTGACTGAAGCATCCTTGTTTCTGCTCTGGGAATTATACTAATGAGTTCAAAACTGTACAAATGTATAATTTCACAGCCTGCCCACCACCAATACCCTAACCATCCTCCACCATGTTTCACTGGGCCCTTCCCCTCCTTTGATTCTTATCTACCTCCCTCCTCCTCTGGTTTTCTTGGTTTTATGTCAGATGCTAAGAATTTAAATTTGTATGATTTGCTAATACCTCCATCCCAAAGTTTAGTACTTTGTTTAGTACAACGTTATAGAAGACTATCAAAGGTAGAACTTCCACAAGAGACATTTCTACTTTTGATTGAATTCTCACACTCTTTCTATTTTTGGTCACTTCAGAGACAGCAGACTTTATGGAGAGTCTACTGGTAGCAAGGTTTATGTACTATCTTACATATAAAAACTTTAGAATGATAACTTATTTCTCTTTCCCTGTTTTCTTTATCCCTGTAACATTATTAATTTTCAGTTACTCTCATTGGTCGAGTTCTTTCTCTCATTGTTTTTTACCTGAGCTCATGAAATACCAACTAAATGATCTGCAATATCATTTATTCATAGCTATGATGTTCATCTTATTTTAGTGTAATTTGGATTATTTCAGTCTTGATTCCAAGGTTTTTCTGCCTGTTTAACTTACCGTGGAAATCAGGTTCACAAGAAAATGATCCTATTATATCGTCCCAGACTATTCTATAACTTATCTTTATGTGTCATATAACCTAGCCTAACTGGAAAGTAATATTCTAGTAATATTAAAACCCTTCATCCTTTTCAACAGCTTTCTTGATTCTTCTTTTATTTCTGTCTTTTCCATGTCTTTGCCATCTCTCTCCTTTCATGTTCTTCTCAGTTGCTGTGGTTTTCAGCCAAATTCAAACTTTAAAAAAAAGTTTTCCTAACTGCCTGTTGATTACATTTGTTAGCATATTCTGTCTTCTCATATAATTGCTTTTATATTATTTGAATGAACATCCCATGTTGGAATGTGAGATTCTTGATATCAAGAATTAGAACAGAAAGAGGAAATTCCTTGTAGGTTGCCGGATCATTATGTACAAAGTCACAAGGGTGGGAAAACTGCTTAGAACTGCAGATATTGAGGATTTGTACCAGATCCCATAGATCTGGCTTTACTTAGAATCAGATTTTCAGAGTTTTTAAGGAATCTGCAAATATTAAAAAAATATATACAAGTTGATTGGATTTGAACTGGAGAATTTACTAAAATGAGAATCAAGAGACTTACTTTCTTGTTTTATGTCCATAAATCTTTTGTTCATGCTGTTAAGTCCGACCACTGGGAAATGTCTTCAAGAACTGTGAGAGTATCTGAAACTGAAGGGGTATGCAGGTGGGAGAGAATACCATCAAAATTTATCTATTTTCTAAATATTGGTTTGTATTTAAAAATGTGAAAAAAGAGTAAAAATTAAAAATGAACATTATAAGAAAGAAATTAACATTAAAAAATTTAAATCTGATATATCTTTCAATATTAATGATTTTACTAAGTGTTTAAGCTTATTGACTAGACCATGAACTTGAAAGCTTTCAATTTAGTCATTTAAAAAATGTCTCAAAGCTCCTTCCCCTCCTTACTCTTACTTCTATCTTTTCTTGCTAGGTAATTAAATTCCAATGAAACATCACGGTAGTTCAAGTATTTGATCCTGTATGGATGTGCCTTCAGGCATGACCATGTTCAGATTTCATGTATTTAATATACTTCCAGAAAGTATATTAGTATTTAGACAATGGATAAATGTATTTCATGGCACTGAGGAAATAATATAGTGTCAGAATAAACATCTTTTCTATTAAATATCATTTCTAGTCATCACATCTGGCAATCTGAGCTAGTGGGAACTAATTGTTGGGGACGGGGAGAGATGAAAGTTACAGAATAAGCATAGGCTGTTTTCCAAGTGAACTATTCTAGTGGTTACCTTTTTTTTTAAAAAAAAAAAAAAGCTAAATTACAAAATATGATGGAATTCAAAACAGTATTCACATTTTTAAAGGTAAAAGATGTAGCCTAAGTAAATGCTATTTGTGTTGGCCTGAGCTCCTAAATATAATTTTTTAAAGGCTGAATTAAGTGTTTTTAGTAATTATCAGCTCAAAATTATGTAAATCTTTTTCAGAAATTACAAAGTATTGCATGGTGAAGCTTCTTTCAGCCTAAATTAACAAAACTCTGGATATTTATTTTCTGTTGTGGTTTTCTTGTCTCTATGGAACTGCTTAATTTAGGAAAATGTTAATTAATAGGTTTTTAAAAGATTTTTCAACTTATATTGGAAATATTCAACCATGTATATTGATTTGTAAATATATATAAAATAATTACCTGTAAGCTGATCATGTATGTGACTAGTAAACTAGAATTTGAATCTTTAAAGTTACACCTCTTGTTGCTTATGTGTGTGTCATGTCTTTAAAAACAGTGTTTTAAATTAGACACAAGATATCTTGATGGACCCAGGTTGTGCTTGGACAATTTTTAAATTATACATTCTTCATTGTAAAATGGGAAGTTTCTTTTGAAGACTCTTCTTTAACTAGTCTTCAAATGCTGATATCCTGTTTTCTATACTTCAAATAATGTCATATGGTCATTCCCAGCTATACACTTATAGCTCAGAATTCTACCATATATTTCAGACATATTTATTCACCAACCTGTTTGATATCATGACATAATTTTCTTACTAGTGAATTGCATCATTATTTCTATGAAATGCACTCTTTCTGATTTATTTATTGTATGATACTAACATTCACCACAAGGTACAAAAATACTGATTTGGTCATTCTGCGTTAGTGTATTCACTCTGATTTGCCATCCTTACCTGTTTAGCCAGCAGATTCTAAAGATTCTACCTCCTGAAAAGCTTTCAAACACAACTACTCTAAGTCAGTTTTGTACTGCATTATAGTAAGTCATCTTCAAACTGATGTCCCGCCATTGTTGGTTTTATTTTCACTATCTTCATTTCTAAGTTACAATGATGTGTAGGTAGTATCATCATTCTAAAATCCAAATATGATTCTGTCATTTCCTATGTTAAATATTTTGTTTTTGGTAGTATCAAATCTTATTTAAGATTTGGCACAAGCCAAAACTCAAAAAATATTCTTTGGCCCTCATTATTCCTCCACAGTGCACTTTCAAAAATGAACAGAGTTTTTCTGTAGTTTTTTTCTAGGCTATCCTTATATAGTTGTTTCAATTAAAATATACACTTTTATGTATGATAATATATCAATCATGAAACCTAGCCCATCTAGAAACTGTATATCTTTTCTTATATAAGTTTAAAAAGGTAGCGGCCTCCCTGTAGCTCAAGGGGTTAAGTCTCAGTACGATGAAGCTATCAGCAGCCATTGCAGCATGAGTTTAATCCCTGGCCAAGAAGCTAAACTACATGGCACAGCAGACCTCACCTGTCTTCCCCGTTGCTGCTCAGCAGTGTATTTCAATCAATCCACCTGTCCTACTTCCTAATCTGGCTCTGGTAAATCCTCGCACCTACCCACACTTCTGAACTACTCCCCATTTCTTGTGTGAATAAATAAATAAAATAAATCTTTAAAAAAAATTAGGTAGTGTAAGTCTCTGATATCAATATTATTTATCTTAATCCTAAATTCTCATGAAGATGCTTTGGTTTGTTTCCCCAGATACTGCTAGAAAATATGACCTTATAACTCACTATCGGTCTTTTGTAACATGAAGACAATGAGTCCTGAATAGAGTAATAGACTTGTTCAAAACAAAACATAGTGAGTTTCCAGCTGCCAACCTTTGCAGTGGTAACTTTATGTTGCAGTCTAAATATACAACCAAATTTTATTAATACTTTTCTGATAGTGTGATATATGTAGTTGTAGCTTAAACTATTCCTGTATGCATTCTATTTTAATTATAATGAGGAAAATACCAAATATTTAATACATTGGAAAGTCTTTATAAGGATGGATAATATTTTAGCACATGGACAGCTTCTATACTATAAAATTATTTCTTTTTTACTCCTATGGCTGTAAAATATTTTTACTGGTGATGTTCATTTTTCAGTGATTCAGTTTGTCAATCTCCAGATGCAGCTGAATAATGTAGTAATTTTCACTGTCCTTTTGTTCCAGAACAATTTTTAACAATGAAAATTAATAATATTTTAAAATCCAACTTTCTTCATACTACCATAAAAAATATTTGCAATGGAAGGTAATTTAGATTTGCAAAATCTTTCTATCCTCTTATCAGTTGTCTGTAAAAAAAATGTGATATATACCAGGTTAACCTAGAATAGTTTTAAAAGAAAACCATGGATACCTTTCTAAAAGAAGTTTGTACCTTACTTATCTCTAGTAGTATGCATTAAAAAATAATGAAGTAAGAAACTAATTATGGTGCTGAGGAATATGTGTTCTGCTGAATGGCATTAACTGTGCTATCTTTCTCTCTCTCTTTTGTTTTGTTTTAAAATAAAGGAGGAAACATATGTCGAACAGATGAATTTCTTTGCAATAATTCCCTGTGCAAACTACAGTTCTGGGTGTGTGATGGTGAAGATGACTGTGGAGACAACTCAGATGAAACCCCTGATATGTGTGGTATGGCATTTAATGTGTTTTTACCTTGTAAACTCCACGTCTGATCTAAGATACTGGAGTGAATCATTGAAATGGGGAGGTGAACCCTGTAGTATGCCATCCTGGGGTTAGATAGATAAAGTATAATCACAGACAAAGCTTTTGTTGAGTTAATAAGGGATTACCCTCTTCAAAGCTTATGACTTATAGAAAACACTTCTTAATATAAATTTGCACATGCCAACATTGTTAGAAAAGCAAATTATGTCCTCTTAGAGAGGACTTAGATTAGCTGAACTTTTGCTTTGAATAAGGTTTATGTAAGGACTTTGGCTTTGTATCAAATTGGTATTTTAGACTAAAAAATTTTGAGACAGAAAAAAACTGAATAATAAGATCATGTAATTCTGTAAGCCACCCACTACTGATGCTGTGGTTGTTCAGTGAAATTAAGAATTATTTAGCATTTAAATCTGAATTGCTTCTTCAAATTTGCTACTCTTGACTGATATTTGTCAGAAATGTGCTTACATAGCTAATAACTCTAAATGTGCAATTTTATATCACCAAAGCAAAGAATTTATTATATTTGTCAAACATTTTTAGTTTTTCTTTCATTCTTTGTATCTAATCACAGCAGGAAATATATTTTTATCTCTAATTTAAAGAAAGATACAACTATTTTTATATAAATAAATGTATATCAATTGGATTAAAGAAAACATAGTGTATGCAATTAAATTATTTGTTCTATTTGGGGCATCAAGTTAAGCCAATATTTTTTGATTGACTTATGAGTGATTAAACTATAGTTGACATTATAGTTTAATTAAAAAAAACCCAAGTCCAAAACAGAAGCAGCATTATATTTAAAGTATTAAAAGTAGAAAAAAATGATTCTGAAGTGTATTTCCTGTAGATACAGCTAATTAAATATATAACTACATCAATGTCAATTCTTTTACAAACTCTTAAAAAGTATACTCTAGCTAATCACTAAAGATTTTATTGTTTTTATACATAATAAATGAAAATAACATTAGTTTACCTACTCCAAGTCCAAACCTATTATTTTGTATATAATGCTATTGTTGTATTTTTATTCACTATTCTACTTCAGCACAAAAGTAGCAAGTGAATCTAAAGTGTTCAGTAGCTAATTAATCCTGTGAGACTCTAGAGTTACACAACACTGTCATTATTTCCAGGACCAAAGAGCATTTAAACATCAATTTATTATGTTCCAGATATTGCACTAAGTAGATGGGATTAAAAAAGTAAACACCGCATAGTTCTTTTTAACAAAATCTTAATAAATAATAATTCTTATACATTGCATTTCTAGAAATGTTAAAATTAAGTAATAGATAATGTCAAAAGGAAAAAGATGAATTCTACATAAAGGGAAATTCAGAAAGCTATTACTTTGAGGGATCAAGGCCAAAAGTTACCACTGACATATTGAACAGTATGGGATAATGAATCATTCATTAATTTGACAAATACTTGCTAAACTAGAGAATAACTAATTTTGGTGTCATAGTTATGAAAAAACCATATATGACCTGACATCACAGAACTGAGAATTTGGTAGGAGAAGAATGTATATCAAAATTCACAAATATATAATATATATATTAAAGTTATAGTAAAACTATAAAATTATAATGCAGGGTTTTCAGTTTGGGGTAATGAGAAATATTTGATTTTAAATTTGAGAAATATATGACTTCCAGTTAAGTAAAAGGGATCAGGATGATTGGGAAGTGGATTAAAATGTGGAAAGGCAAAAAAACAAGATATAGAAAGTCCCTAAGCATAGCAAACCACATGAGAAAAAAGTTCCACATGTCTATAGAGGGTACAGAGCAAAGTACATGTTAGTTTACAATCAAACGAAAGGGACAGGAGAAGCAACTAGAACTTTGTGAGTCTGAGTAGGGATTTTTTGGACACAGTCTAAAAGTGATTAACAATACCAACAAGGACAGGCACATGGGGATGTTTTTATTTTACCAACATCCCATAGAAAGGGGCAGCACTCTAGGTAAACTATCCTGGTAAGCTGGATTAAGACAGTAACAGCACATGATGGAAAACTTTACAGATTTGTAGGTGGCTTAAAAGAGAAAACAAACTCTATTAACTAATTGGTTGGAATAGGGACAAAAGAAAGGAAATTGTAAAGTGTAAATTTATAGGGTGTTTTTTGTTTACACATATATGCATGCACATTGAATAGATGGGGAACATGATAAAAGAACAGTTTTGCAAGCAAAGATTAGGAGTCTGGTTTGAGCTGTATCTGAGGAGAGATTCAGTTAGATTTTTAAGTAGGCAGTTGAGGTTTGTTCCCAGAGCTTCAAGAGCTGGCCTAGAGATACAAAATTGAGAGCCAAGATAAAATATGATGCATACTAAAAATCATAAAATTTAGAATAGATGGGAATACAGTATAAAATGTGAGTAAATTAAGATAAAATATTGAGGGACACAAAATAATTAAATAATTATTTTTTGAGATGACTTATCTGAGTTTCCATATATGGGGGAGGGGAGAGCCAAGTCAAATATTTTAGGAAAGATGGAATGATTCCTGAAGAGGACATGAAAAATGAGTTTCAGGGGCCCTCCCTGGTGGTGCACCGGGTTAAGGCACAGCACTAAGAAGCTTAAAGCCAATTCAGCATGAGTTCGATCCCCACCTGGGAGGTGACCCACATGACGTGGCAGACCTCTCCTGACATGCCTGCTGCTCCCCTCAGCAGTGTATTTCATCAGTTGGCCTGTTCTGCTCCCTACTCTGTCTCTGGTGAATTATCTCACCACCCCTGTACCCCAGTTCTGTATGCATAAATAAATAAATCTTTTTTAATTAAAAAAAATGATTTTCAGTGCAGATTTAAAAAAAAAAAAACTTAATTTTATATAGAAGTAGTGACCTCTTCTCTGTATGTAAGTATAATGAAATATTTCATAGACTATATATAGATGAAGTTAAGTGTGCAGGTACTTAATAAGATGTTAACAAATTTCCAATCTTTTTATTTTGACTTTTTAATATGTGTAATAGGAGCCATACTTACATGTAGAATGTAGAAAACTATAGAGAGATTTGAAAGGAACACATATTTGAAAAATTATTGTAAGTGTAAGAGAATATGTGTGTGTGTTTGTTGTATGTGATATATGTGTATGTATGTGTGTATGTTGTATATATATGGTGTGGTGTGAGTATAACATTATGTGTGTGGGGGAGGGGTGTACACACACACACACACACATTTATACATGAATTGCAAGTGGTATTCAAGGCCCACTTAGCATTGATAAATAAACACATTTGTGACACCACTTTTCCTTCAGTATGATCATCTGCAACATTCTTGGACTTCCCAGATGTAGAAACTGGTAAAACAGATCATTTCATTTATATTAGTTTGGAGTTTTGTTAGATCATTAATGTGAACAGAGAAAAGGGTCAGAAAGTTCAAATTATTTTGTATGAAAGTTAAGATTCTAAAAGCATATTTAAGATAGTGACCAACATATAATGTTACCAATAAGTATTTGTAGAATGAATAAATAAAAAGAAAGAACATGTGTGGCCCTCCCTGGGGGTGCAGTGGGTTAAAGCACAGCACTAAGAAGCTAAAGCCACCTCAGCATGAGTTTGATCCCCAGCTCTGGAGGTGACCCACATGGCACATCAGACATCTCCTGACCCACCTGCTGCTCCCCTCAGTAGTGTACTTCGTCAGTCAGCCTGTTCTGCTCCCCACTCTGTCTCTGGTGAATCCTCTCACCGCCCCTACACAGCTGGCCTGTACCCCAGTTCTGTGCATAAATATATAAATCTTAAAAAAAAAAAACATGGGATTTAATGTCGATATAGAAGGATGTTTTAAAAATTGACACTGGTAAGCTGGGAAAAGATAAGCAATCATAAAGTAAAGTCACTGCCAAGGCTGAAAAATGTTCCTAATGAAACAGGTAAAATTATAAATTTGGAAATTTTGGATGCAGTCGGGATTTGGAACATTCAAATTGGAGTTTTTATAAATGTAGCAATTGTAGAAATTAGCAAATTCAGCTGTACCCATGTGCATCATTTTTTTTTGTCCTTGGACAACAGAAACTGTCATTAACTGAACTAAAAATTAATTGCAATCCACCAGTGTCCACTGTCTTCTTAAAATATGGGGGTTTATATGGATGAGATTAAAATGATAGTGAGATTGAAAAGTTGCTTAGAAAGTGACTCTTGAAAGTTTTCATCTCAAGAACAAAAAATCTGACAAGGAATAGTGATAGATGGAATTGTTTTAGACTTAATTTGATAGTCATTTCACACTACATATAAATTCCAAATTATTTTATATACCTGAAACTAGCATCTTATATTTTGATTATAAGTTTTAAAATATATTTTGTATATGAGAAACCCAAAGGACTAAGGCAGTTATTATTGGTTTCTCATTCTTGGTTGAAGTCATTTAGGGTGCTGAACTGAATTGGTTGGAGAGAAAAATCTATGAGGGGAAAGGTGATACAGTCGTCAGTGAATTGACAGAGAGGGATGTCTATGAGTTAGATAAGGAAATAGCAATAAGAAGGTGGTAGGATCGAATGCCTGCCCCTCAAAATGTCAGTTTTGTTTTGAAATAGAATGCAAAGATATCACAACATACTTCAGAAAACTAAAGTGAGAAATCAGTCTCTTATAACATGAAGTTTGAGCAATTAAAGAGACACTCCTAAAAGACCTAACAGGAGGAAATATGCTTGGCATAAGCACCATATTAATTAAAGCAAGGAGGTCAGGCAGGAGGGAGTGTAAAATATTTAAGACCTGTAATAAAGTGGTATTGCTAAAATATTAAGATTGATAAAGGATGGAGCTGTAGGAGTGGGATGGGCAAGATAATGATAAATCTACTGTGCAAATAACATCCCTTAAATTTTATACTGAATGTGAGGGATAATTATGAAGAGGTGATCAAATTAGTATGTTAGATGTATTGTTGTGGCTTTTGGTGGAACTTAGGTTGTACAATGAATCTGAGCAATTTAGGATTCTCTTGCAGTCATTTCAGTAATCGATAATGAACTGAGCTGCTGATTTTCATGGCGAAGAAGCCATGGATGGAGGAGGGAAAGTTAGCTTGTTTACTAGTAGGAGTTAAATGAGAGGAATCTACTTAAAATAAATGTAGATATATGACTATGATGTGCCTCTAGCTGACCTAATGATACAGGACAAAGCATAAGTTTGGGGAGACGAGTCAAGAGAAAATGATAAAGTATTGAATTTTGAACTTTTTGAAGTTCATTCTTACATTCTGAGAATTGTGAGATGCTAAAATTCAATAGCAAATATAAAATTTTCAAGTTAAAATGTCAGGACATCCATGAGAGTCGATGAGGATGGCTATATAGACAATTTAAGGGTGAGAACACCAGGGGGCCCAAGACAGACACCCAGAATATTTCAACATATCAAGATACATTATTAGAGATGTCCCCTACTTTAGAGGTATAAGTCTTCAGAAGAGAAGCAATGAGGCACAAGTATGTAATTCCCTGATTGTTATCGTTTGTTGTCTCCACCCCTTCAACACAACACACACATGTGTGAGCATGTGCATTCAAGACAATTTCATGTGCACACATACAGTATATATACTCTTATACAAACTGAAAATTAGTAACCCAGATAGTCTTATGCCTTAAAGGCATGTGTATTTGTTTAGAGACAGGACAAGAAAAACAGTTATAATAGCATTGACATTGAGATTTTTTTTTTTTTTTTTTTTTTACTGAATGGCCTCTTTTCAATTATAGGCCTATAACACTATAACAGTAGCTTGCTCAAGCTCTAGTCTGTGTGAAATTGCTCTTTCAGATAGCTAAGTGTCTTACTATATTGTATAAACCATCAGCATAAATTAATTTGGTAAAAGTAAAGTGAGCTAAGACAAGACATCTGGAAATGAGGCCATGAAGTTTGACTTTTTCTTGTTTCCTGCAACATTTAACTCTGCACACTTTTCTATCATTAATAGAAATAAATATGATCATAAGTTTCTATTATCAAACATTATTCTAATATTGAAAATATATATTTAGTATTAAATAACAAATTAGACCTACTACCTAACTTTACAATTGATATTCCAAAAAGCTAGATTGTAGAGTAGCTGTGGAAGAAAAAGGAGGAGACAAAAATATTGGTTCTTCATTAATCCATGTACCCACAGGAGCTGCTTTGGTTTTTCTCTCTTTTTTTTTTTTTTTCAGTCAAATTTCTTTGCCCACCCACAAGACCTCACAGATGCAGAAACAACAGAATATGCTTGCAGTCTGAGAAAATGTGCAATGGGGTTGATGACTGTGGAGACAACTCAGATGAAGATCACTGTAGTGGTAAATCATTTTAATGTGAAATTACTGATTTAGTGGCAATTGCAACATACTGTGATAATTTCAGGACTTGAGGAATTAAAATAATATCTTCCATATGGCATGTTTGAAAGTATAATTATCAGGCACTTGACCTGCTATCAAGGTATGAAAACAATCTATTAACATTTAATTGCATAGTTGAGCCATGCAACTTTATTCGGTGTCTATATTAGTTTGTAAATCTCTGTTGATCATAGACAAACAAGAAGACAAGAATGCATGAGAGAAATAACATAGTGGCTTAATGTGTTCTCTGTTAAATAGTTGCTTGAAAAGAGAGGGCTTATATAGATTGTATTTTTGTATGCACAGAGCCTTTTCCATAATTCTGAAATTTACAAAAAAAAATATCTTAAAACCAAAGGCTTTACTAAAGAATGCAGTAAAATCAATTGGCAACAAATCCTGATTGCTACTTGTCTGAGACAGTGTATAATTTAAAGTAAAAATCATACTTAGGGTAAATATTCAAACATTTTCCTATGGAAATGGGGTATTATTTACTGTAGGGTAAATACAATGTTATTTTTTACATACTTGCAGTTCAAATGAAAGATATCAGAAATTAAACATATTGCAGTTTGTCACAATCTTATTATAACTTGCAAGTGAATCAAATGCAATACTTTAAAAATGTCTTTTGGAGTGGCAACTGGAAAACACACAAATTAACATATTTGAATTGCCTGGCCCCACACAGTGAAATGGGTGTTTAACTACCATGGAAACATAGCCCCAGTATGTGGTCACCTCTCTCTTACTGATGTTGATGTGTCCATGTTGTTTCCTGCCTTTGTTTCACCCACATTGATTTGTATGCCCATTTTGTTGTCCCCTGAGTGCCTGAAAACATAATTAGCAGGCTTAAGCTGGCACACCATGCTCCCCGGGAGCCTCCTCCAGGTCCCAGAGGGAGAGCATGCACAAGACTCGAGCCAGACCATTTAAGCACTGGCAAAGAGATCTGAAACCACAACAAGGAGCAGATTTCTATTAATCTTTTCAAAAGCTTGACACAAACTCCATCCTCAATTGCTGCCTCCTATCTCCTGCCCTTCCCCTTCACACTGTTACATCATTACCACTGCTAAGGGCTCAAATGGGGCAGAGATAGGTAGAGGCAGTGGGAAGATTATTCAGTTACTATTTTTTAACCACTCAGAAAAGGAGAATGGCTGGCCCACTTTATTCTTAAGGTATTGAAAATCCTATGTCCTTTTTAAATATTACTTTGTCATAGCACATATATATTACCAGAAATTTTCTCACCCAAATCCTGTTTTCACAGACTCTGTTTTTTTTATTATTTTGGATGCAGTCAAGTAAATGATTTCATTTGAATAGTCTCCAATTTTATGCATCCCTCAATAGTCAGATTCCGTTATGATTTTATTCAAAACTCTGCTCAATCTTACTGTTTTGCTACAGTTTACTTATACAAATATCTTTCGTTGAACGTTCTTATAGCATATGATTTCCTTCTCCACAAGTATAGGATAAGTAATTTGAGGGGGGTGGGGGAAGCTAAAGTTTTAAACAGTAAATTCTTGTTCAATTTTCTACAAATAAATTGATATTTTTGAAAAAAATTCTAAAAATCAAAATCTTTTCATTTCCCCCCAAGTACTGAAAATGAAAGATTGCAAACCCATGGTTTTCTCACTAAGAGCAAAAGAGAAACCACCCCTTACCTTCTGGGTTCTCAGGCTGGATGAGAAATCAAAACAGCATAAACAAGTCAACAAAGGGGAAAAAATCAGTGCATACTAAAGGAGAATTTACTTGGCTGTAAATTCTAAATAATAATAGAGCACACTCATTTATCCTGTGCTTAGGGACTTGGCACATCAAAGTGAAGAGAAGGAACCTTACATGTTAAATAATAAGGGATTATCTCATGCTTACATTGATGGTAAAGATAAGATTCTTAGATAGAGAAGATATTTTTACTGGTAAATCTGACATTTGATGAACCTCCCTCTCCCCACCTACATTCTTCCTGGTCATATAAGGGGGAGCAGTAAAGCCTCACTGATTAGAAAAAAAGAATAGAAACATAGGCCTTCATGATCTTTTATATTAGAAAGGGTGAAAGACTTAAGCAAGAAAAGAAGCTTCTTTTCACCCTCAAAGAATTTCATTGCTCTTTTCTCAAAATCCTCTCCTGCCAGGGAGAACATCTTGAGAAGACCGCTTCTGAAGAACTTAGGAAGGGGGACTTGGGGGAGGGGGGCTGTTTTGGGCAACTTTGATAGCATTTAATAAAATATTGAACGTGGTTTGTGCTCAATAAACTCAATAATGTATTTTGCATTTTATGCTGTGAAGCACTGATCATTTTTGAATGACTGTAGGTAAGCTGACATACAAGGCCAGACCCTGTAAAAAAGACGAGTTTGCTTGTAGCAATAAGAAGTGTATCCCCATGGATCTTCAGTGTGATCGACTTGACGACTGTGGAGATGGCTCAGATGAACAAGGCTGTAGAATAAGTGAGTTTATTTTCTGTTAAAGTGCAGTGATAATTGATTCCAATTTGTGCTTCAATATCACTAAAATTTTTCTTTATTATGAGAAAAGATTAGTCTTCAGAATGCTTAAGTAATAAATTTTTAAACCTTTTCAAAAATAACCTTAGAACATCACTTTCAAAATGTGAGAAAAAATTAATTTTGCAATGAGTGCCCTTGATACAAGTAAAGATGAAGCTGCCAAGTTAATATGGATATACAAATTTTGATGTCAGCAAGAAGTCTGTTTTTCTTGCTGTTTTATTTTATAACTTCATATTTTTGAGTTTTAAAAACATAATATTAAGTTGGATGGTAGAAAGTTCTAACTAATATATTCAAAGTTTAAAATTTTTCATCATTTACCAAATTCTTAAAGAAGTCATCAATAGTTGGTTTAGAGCAATAAGTCATTAAGTGTTGATTGCTGATTTTGTGTTTAATGTTTGATAGATGATTTTCCATATTTAAAAATAATTGATGACTCTAAATTCAGATTAGTTATTAAAATCACAAATAATTTCTATAATTTCTATTTGGGTCATTTTTAAATTTGTTTCGCACTGGGTAAAGGAGTGATACCTACCAGGATTTCATGACATAGATCATAACAATTGTATAATTCCACTGGTATATTTTAAATAATTGAAAAATATTGTCAGTAGAGATTAATAATTGTTACAACTGTGATAACTACAGTTCTTATATTTATTGATAAATTTACATAAATAGAGTAAATTCAAGGTTACCCCTCTAATAATGCCCTCTAATTTATATGTATTGTAAGATGTGTTCCTGAATGGAAAATAAAGCAATGAAGTCACAATTACTGTACTGGCTACCACAAATGCACACCATCTATACTAACTGCATTGTAGCCCATTACAACTGGAATATATTACATATTCAAAGGTTGCTCTTCATCTGTGTATTCAAATTAAAAATGCTTAAGTACTACTGATTTAGACAAATTGCTTGAGTAACAGGGCAGTACTCTTTGAATCCCTTAATGTGCTGTTTAATAATATGCTATATTAGCAATAATTGAGTATATTTCTAGGAATGTTCTGATTCTTTGTGAAGGATTTACTACTCATATATATACCATACCCCTGTAAAGATAGTCTCTTTATTTTAGCATGGCTTTAAGGGTAAAAGGGAACCCAAATGCTCTTTGAGGGTGTCCTGACAGCCACATGCACAAAGGCAGAAGTCTTAGTGTAAACTTTTTTTAGTAGAATCAGTATGCAGAAAGAGAAAAGAAAGAAATTACAAATAGTTGTTTTCCAATAAAGCTCCCCAAATTACCCTGTGGGCAAACTCTCAGCCAAATAGGTTTGACCCAAAAGGTTGCCACAAGTCTAAGTTCTGTCAGGGAACCACAGTAAGGTGTTACGCAGGTCACAGAGAACAGAAGGGAGAGACTTAAAAGAACAAATATATCACATCAAGATAATAGCTGCCATTGTTTCTGCCAAGAATCAGGAACCACCTCTCCCCAAGTCTCTCACCCATGTCTCTTCTCTCTCTTATTATACAAGTATCTCTCCTTCAGCCTCTGTAGGTGTCTCCATCTCTGTTTAAATATCTATCTCCCTCCTTTCCAGCTGTCTCACATTCAGGAAGCAGGATGCTGGGACTTATAGTCCAAGGTGCCTACACAACCATTCAACAAATAGTTATTCACAAATAGTTATTCAACAAAGTTATTCACTCTTGATTTCCTTTTAAAAAGCATTGTAGCTAGAGTTGTAAAGATCATCTCTTGGCAGCTTGGTCTAAACCAAATTCAATGTAAATGAATTCAGTTTTTAATCTGTTGTTATACTTTTATAAGAAATGAGGACTTCTATCAAAACCAAATGGAATACAAAATAAAATTTCAAATTAACTAAAAGGGTAAATTCCTGCTTTAAGAAGCAGAATCACACCACTTTTGACCATATTTTTAAATTCTAGTTCCAACTGAATATACCTGTGAAGATAATGTGAATCTGTGTGGAGATGATGCATATTGCAATCAAATAAAAACATCTGTTTTCTGTCGCTGTAAGCCTGGATTTCAGAGAAACATGAAAAACAGACTATGTGAAGGTATAGTACGTTTCCTCTACAACAGCTCTTAAATCTTTAGGTTATAAAAGACTGCTACATTGCAAGATAATGGGGGATTGATTTTTATCAAAATGGTGTGTATCTAAAGGATACTGTTTAGTTTTTCTTTTTACTTATGAGAGTGGAAGGTTCCTGGGGTCAAAAACCTGCTTGTTTGTATGACTAAGCTAACTATTACTGAGGCTGCAAAGCCCTTTCTAAAGAGGACCTACAGGAAATTCAATTGTACTGTTACAATTGTGTTTTGAAATGCAAATAGTAGAATTTCTGGTTCAGAAAGTATTGGAGAGTTAGAGATGCTTCAAAAAAGAATGTGTTTATGATGAACATTTCTCTTCAGTTGTGGCAATTGCAATGCTATATAATAGGTGATTCACTTTTAGAACACTGTAGGATTTTTTGGGTTTTTTTTTGCTAGCCCCATGTTTTAATACTTTATGGTATCAAGATAAGTCTTTTACAATTCAAAGGCAGGATCTAAATGAAACTCTTTCAATTTGCTTGAGATCATTATAAATCAAGTATAGGAGATAGCCACACTCTCATTGTAGATTGTATGTAAATGTAATTTACATCAGGACTTTAACTATAAAACCTTGCAATTTTGACATATGTGTACCTTCTGCCAGTTTCTGTACTAAATGTTGTTGTGATTAGAGCCAAATGTTAATTATCTGAGTCTGACTTATCAAGGGTAAATTCAAATACTAAAATGCTTTCATTTACTGTTTTCCTTCTCTACCATATATTTTATGCGTGGGTTAAAAAAATAAAGTATGTTTATATTATGTCAATCAAACATAATTGTTGAAATAAATTAAATATACTTATCCAACAGCAGAAGCGGTGTTAAATTTACTTCCATTTCAAGCTATATGCTTATTTGAATCATTTATTTAATATTGTTTCTTCTTTTATAAGGAACACTGACAAGTAGCAATCTAAGTTTTCTCTATTTTAATTAAAAGGCAAAGTACTTCTCAAGGCTAGCCTATGTCTTCTTTCACCTATAATTTCTATCAAAAAGCACATATACACAATCTCTTCAAGATTTTAATTTCTTTTTTAAGATTTATTTATGCATACAAGAACTGAGGTATAAGCCAAAGATGTGGTGAGAGAGAGGAGAGTGAAAAGATTCACCAGAGACTTTGGGGAGCAGAGACTGTAGGGAGGGTGAAAAGATTCACCAGAGACTGTGGAAACCAGAACAGGTGAATCCACGAAACATACTGCTAAGGGGAGCAGTGGGTTAGATAAGAGAGGCATGCTGAGACATGTGGGTCACCTCCCTGGCCAGGTAGGGATCGAAATCATGTTTATAGCAGCTGGCGATAGCTTCATAGCACTTGCTTTTACCCCTGTGCCACCAAGAAGGCACAAGATTTGAATTTCAAATAACATTAATTTTAAAGGCAAATAGAGTGCTACTTCCTGTATACACTTATGAAATTTAGAAATTTCTTTCTTTTAATATAATTTTTAAGATAATTTCTTTATTTTAATCCCATGAAAAATATAACCTGGGGGCAACATTTGATTTTTATAAACTAGCTTAAAGGCTATATTATCATTTTGGGGGTGGCTAAGTAACTCCTGAAGTCCAATAAAATGTGCTTCTTTAATTAATACAACTTGATCTTTTTGAGGTACAGAGAAAATTACCTCACCCCATCTGAGCTCTTCTCAGACCAGATGAATGAACAAATTAACATTAGACAAATTAGTAGGAGATAAGTCCAAACGTTAGTAAATATACATAGAGAAACTTTAAATGGTTATATATTCCAAAGAACAATGGACAGAATCGGAATATTTATTCTGAAATTAGGAACTTGACACATCAGAGGAAGGGGGAGAAACTTTACATAATATATAACTGGGGTTCCATCATCATTACCCTGAGAGTAGAGATGAAGTTCTTTGACAGAAAGGACAGTTTTACAATAAAACTACAAGTGAGTGATATCCCAAATACATTCTTCTAAATTACAAAAGAGAAAGCTGTGATTCTTCAGTGATTATAAAAATACAGACATAAATTTCCATGGAAGTGATTTGGTTTCTTTTGGATGAAGTTTCACAGCAGAGACAACAAAATCAGAACCTGAGTGTAAGCCTTTCACTGTTATTTACAAGTATCAGTTGGAAAATCCCTATCTCTAGTATTGAAACTCTTGAGTAATAAACAGAAGATAATTATTTTTACTCCTTCTATCCTAAAGTTTTCAAGTTTAAGGAATGGTTTCTCACATGGATTTATTACAACTACAAGAGGCTACAGAATCGTGCTGATTGAAAGCAAAAGTAGTTTGAAAAAAAAAAAGGCAGAGAAAAGAGATGTTCATCAAAAGCACTTGACCTCACTTCTGGTCCTACTTAAACCATTAAAATTAGAATATGTACTAAGCTATAGACTATTGCCTGTGATTTGTTCATTGATTACTTATGACTTACATACATTTATATCTAGGCATCTTTTGTTTAACTCAGTCTTTATTTCATTGTCACTTCATTTATTGAAACCAGAGTATGCTAGAAGTATATTCATATTTTCATTCTCTGCCAGGAATTGTGCAAATGCTGGCAGTAAATAATACATAATGTATGTCTTGCAGTGGCTGATAGTTAAGTAGGGTATTAATATATAACCATATCTGAAATGTGTTATTAACAGAACTGTAAGAGAGACACCAATTCAGCATAGTGTGAAAACTGTGGGATGGAGATCCACTACTATCTATCAGTAAAAATCAATGAAGGCTTCACTTCAGGTGGATCTTGAGAGATTAGTAGAAAATTTTATCTAGGTGAGCAAGGATGTTACAGGACAAAAGAAAGGCATAAGACACAAAACAGTGAGGAGGTAGGTACTAGAAACTACATTAAAGGACACACTGAGAAGTGTTTGCTTGAGTAAATGAAAATAATTCCCTATTATTAAATGTATTAACCACCAAAGTACAAATAATTGAAGAATTACTATAGTTAAGTTATTGTGAAAAAAATTATTATGGCCTAAAAATACTACACAGGAACTTAGAAGATTTTAAAGACAGTGACAGAAATAGGAACGGGAAGTTGAGGGGAAAAAATTATCTGCTTTGAAATGTTTAAGAATTAAAAGTGCTAATTAGAGGTATAATGATTCTATTTTGAGTTCTTCTTTTCTAGACCTTAATGAATGTTTAGTGTTTGATACATGTTCCCATCAATGTATAAATGTGGAAGGATCATACAAATGTGTGTGTGACCCGAATTTTCAAGAAAGAAATAGCACCTGCATAGCAAAAGGTAAAGTTATAATTGTTACTTCAAACATCCCTATAATTTTACTATAAACACCTAGTGGAAAGAAGTTGTTTTATATTGTATTATTTGAGTAATATCTTCATGTATGATAATTTAAAATAAATCTTTAACTTCTGATTTATTTGCACTGTCAAATAATTCTATCCTAAAGTTTTCAAGTTTAAGGAATGGTTTCTCACATGGAGGCTACAGAATTGTGCCTCATTTTTAATCACTTTAACCTGCAATGGTTTATGACTGAATTGTCAAATACATGCTTCTCTTAAAATCACTTTTGTGCCTTTCCACTCTGCTGGCCTCTATTCTACACTCAGATTTCTTTCTAGTTTTTGTTATTGTTTTGATTTTTTCTGATCCTTTGATTTGTTTCTTTATATTCAACATATTCATGAAAGCATACAGCATCTGTCTTTTTCCTTAACTTTCCTTCCTTTTTACTTAACTTAGCAAAGAGTAGAGGGGTCCAGACAACAGAACCAAGTTTAATCATTAGTGTAAACCTATACAATGGCAACTATTTTTAAATTATGTTTTAACACTAAAATATCATTTTTTTCTGCTTGGCAGAGGGGTAAAAACTTAAAAACAAGTAAGATAGATTATAAAGTTATATTTCTTTAGGACCTGCTGTGGTATGTTTTAAAACATTATTACACAACTTGGATAAAAACAGCAGGTTAAAGATTAGTATCATAAGTGGAATTTTGGGTAAGATTTTAAAATAAATCATATTTTCATATTCAGATCTTTATATGAATATGTGTGTGTGTATTTTTGAAATAAAAACAAGACACATCATTTGTGATTTCTTTAGGTATGGATTTTATTATTTTTTTTTCAGAAAGCAGTATGCTAATTTAAATATTTTTAGCCATAGAGTATGACTGCACAATGTAGTACAAAAGTTTTTACAAGAGGAAAACAGCATGGTGTAGTGAATTGAGGCTTGGCCATGGAGTTAGAGTCCCAGATTTGCATCTTTCTAAGTAAGGTGGCCTTGAAAAGGTTGTTGAAGGATCTGAGCCTCAGTTCCTTATCTTAATTACACATAATTAAAATATCCTTTGGGCAGATCCCTAGGAGTAGAATTGCTGGATCTTATGGCAGTTCCATTTTTAGTAGTCTGAGGAACTTTTCATTAATATTTTAATTAATATTTTCTGGATTCACTTTAAGATTTTACTTGCCGCAGTATGCAAATAATATTGCATTTAGGTGTTAAAACCTAAAGCAAGAGTATTCCACTTAGAAAGATTCTTAATGATATTTATGACACTCTAATGTAATAGATGCTAGATTTTGTTGAAATAAAACTAAAACAAATATTAATATATAGAAATGAGAGAAGAAAATTGCTATTTTAATTGCCTCTTCTTAACCTATGGTTATGATCACTGAGGTGCATATATTAAATGCTCACAAATGCTTAAAGCTAAATAAGTGTACAATATAGCATATGAATATTGAAATTCAAAGCCCTGGGAACCAATATGTTGACACTTAACAAGTAGAAATCTCTATTCCAAAAAATAATATCTTATCCAAATGCCTAATTTTTAGTCGCAAGTTAAGGTTGGCCCTAGGGAAACCAGCTTCATTAATTCTTAAATGTTCAGGTCAGTGTGTTTTAGAAATCATAATTTACAAAGATAAAAAAAATTATATAAAGTTGGTTGATTTTTATTAAGAAACTGTAACGATAACAATTCACAATAATTTAAAAGTATAATCATTGCATTCATATTAGTTGAAATTTACTTTATTTTTGTATTTTATTATAATAATCTCCAGGCTCTGAAGATCAAGTTCTCTACATTGCTAATGACACTGATATCCTGGGTTTTATATATCCATTCAACTACAGTGGTGATCATCAACAAATTTCTCATATTGAACATAATTCAAGGATAACAGGGATGGATGTATATTATCAAAGAGATATGATTATATGGAGTACTCAGTTTAATCCAGGAGGAATTTTCTACAAAAGGATTCATGGCAGAGAAAAAAGGCAAGCAAACAGTGGCTTGATTGTAAGTAAATAATATTGCCTATTTGAAGGTTCATGTCTTGTCACTCCCTCTTCTTTATTTTTTAAACTATCCATCAGATATCTGAATATAGGACACAGTATTTAGTTATTCCTCTCAATATTCTTTATATCTAGAAATAAAGCATATCCTTATTTATTCTTGAAGCTACATGTCGTTTATTTTAATTGCATGCTATTATGTTTTTGTTTAATATATTTGCTTTAGTTATATAAGAATAGTAATGAATTATGCCAAACATTTCTAGAGCATTTTGTTTTATGTGTTTACCAATATATTGTGAATATTTTTTTCACATGAGAAAAGATTGGAAATCACCTCTTTATTTTTATGTTATTGAAATAAGCTGTCAAACATATGCAGGTAAAATTGTTTTATTTTTAACAATATCAGAAATCCACTTTTCTATTAGGCTAAGAGATCAACTCAGTAATATAACCATTTATCCTTATTCCTGATAACTGTATTTCAGGGGACATCCAAAACTGAGCAATATTTTTGCACTATCTGATGGACATTTTGATTATCATGGTTATTCCTTTTGAGAAAACTAAACCAGGACATTTGTTTAGATTTATGGTTGTAGTCTATCCTTTTATTTTAAGATGTGTCAATTTATTGTTATTTTATACTTTGAAGTAACCTGGGACAAAATCAACGATAAATACTTATCTTTATGGGACCTCACCCATTCTTCTATGAACAAAATGTCAAGTGCTATCACTGTAGGATATGATTGAAGCTTTGGATCTGAAAAGAGCTTTAGATCTGGAAGCCTTCACAATTTTTTGTAGTGGCATCTACCATAAAAAAATTGAACTACGTGACTACTCTGTTACACATTTTGATCAATAATAAATAATGATGGACTAGCTTTAAAAGAAGCTCCATTAACCTTCAAATTCTTCAGCACTTCCTCCTCCACCACTGTACATATAATAACTTTAGTTCTATTTTGAACAGTTCTAATACAGCTAGGAAATTTAGTCGCTGAATTTCCCTCTTTCATTCACATATAATCTCCTCCCTCTCTATCAGTAGGCAGCTCAGAGTTTTTCCTATACTTAGCCTTCTTTTATCTCTAAACTAAATTCTACTTCACAAAAACATTGTTTCATTCCATGTTATTTTTGTAATTTCATTTGTTACTAATTAACTGATAAAGAGTATATAACTTGGAGTTATACTGTCTGGATTTTAATCTCATTTCTATTGCTCACTAATATTTTGACTTTCTCTAATATTTTATAAAATGAAATAGTAAAATGTATAATACATATTCAGTATATAATTTATATACTATTATGTACATATATAATAAATATATAGCTCTATGTTTGTGGTAACAGTCTTGCCACATTTAAGAACTATAGAGATGTCTTATCATTAACAGGATAATGGTCAGGAACATGATAGTGATGATGATGACTCTGATGTCATTGATAAAATGATTATCAACATCTCTTTCTCTGTGTTGCTTATTTTCATGGAAAATTTTTCTACAGTTTAAACTTGTCTGAACTTTAAGGTTGCTGACATACAACTTTAATTAATTTTTATAAAGTTTTTCAGTGAAGGTGATCAATGACTGCTTTAGTTTTATTCTTAAGAATATTGGTAGTATATAATCAATTCTACTTTTGAGCAGAATTTATTGTAGGTTAGAAGTCAAGTTTATTTTAATGCCTGTTAAGTAAACTTTAATTCTTACATATGTACAAAATATATATTACTCCCTATATATTTTATGTTTTGATCTTTAACTTATATGGTATAGAATCTTTTGTAACAGATAGCATAGTTACTTTTTTTTTTTAAGGATTAATTTATAAATGCAATCAGAGCTGAGGTACAGGCCAGAGGTACAGGGGCAGTGAGAGGATTCACCAGGGACAGAGTGGGGAGCAGTAAAGGCCGACTGATGGAAGTACTCTGCTAGGGGGAGCAGCAGGCGGGTCAGGAGAGGTCTGCCACGCCATGTAGGTCACCTCCAGGGGCGGGGATCAAACTATGCTGAGGTAGCTTTAGCTTATTAGTGCTGTGTTTTAATCCGCTACACCACCAGCGGGGACCCTACTGGTTGTTTTTATTTCTAAAAGTATATAAAACTTCATATATGTAAAGTAACTTCAATCTATATGTAAAGCACAAAGAAATTTCTGTGTTTTAATTCTAGTGATTGCCATGATCTTTTATCATTTAAACTTTGTCTTCTTTTTTCTCTCTTTATAGACCTGCCATTATTAAACTGTTCATTAGGAAGAAATGTGGGTAATAATAGGGTACATTTTCTTGGACTCCATCATATCTAACTAAAAGTCATGACTATATAACTGGTACTATTGAGCAATTAGTTTAAGTACTAAGTTCTACTCCATTCAGCATTTCATAGAAATTACAAAGAAATTTGTAAATTTGGAATTTTAAAAAGAAAAGAGCTAAACAAGGCTAGATTGATGATTCTTTTAAAAATTAATTAATTCGGCCCTCCCTGGTGGCGCAGCGAGTTAAAGCACAGCACTGAGAATCTAAAGCCACTTCCGCATGAGTTCTATTCCCGCCTGCCCCGGAGGTGACCACATGGCGCGGCAGACCTCTCCTGACCCGCCCGCTGCTCTCCTCAGCAGTGTACTTCGTTGATCTGCCTGTTCTGCTCCCCACTCTGTCTCCGGTGAATCCTCTCACCCTCTGCATCTTTGGCCTGTAACCCAGTTCTGTATGAATAAATAAATAAATCTTTAAAAAAATTTTTTTAACAAAAAAAATTATTTAATTCTTCATTGAGTTGATATTTGGATACCTCCATCAGTTATTGCCACAATAGTTCACCCACCACCAAATCACCCATATTCCACCCCCATAGTCCATTGTACTTCTTCCCCTCTTTGGTATTACACCTTCCCTATTCCCATTCATTCCCTTCTAGATGCTTCAGTTCTGCAGCAAGCCTTCAAGGGTTAGTAGGAAGGAATAGTGCTAAGTGAATTAACTCAGAAGGAGAAAGCTCAGTTCTGGATGGTGCATTAGTATGTGGAATATAGAGGTATTAAATGAAGAGTCAGACAAAGACAAACTGAAAACATAACTTTGATTCTTGAAACTTTTTGCAATGTTTTTGTGGCTCAATATTATAAAATGGAATATATATTGTCTTAATGCCTTAATTAAATGAGCTATGTGTATTCTACAGTGAAGAAATGGCTTACATATAGATATGCAGTTATAATGTGGTAATATTTATAATTGAACTTGGGAAACCCATTATATCTGTGACTCACAAATAACTCAATAAAAAAAAAAAAAGTATAGAAGTAGACAATTGTAAAGTCTCTTCCAGGTAGTAAATGTAGATTATTTCCAAAAGACATGACATAGTTTGTCTATCTATAACATAGACAATTATAACATAGACAATTTATATTCCTCTGAAATACATCATGTGTGAAAGAATTGATTGTCTTTGTGCGTTCCTTTGCATGTATTGTATCTGTGCTTTTGTTAGTTGTCATCTATTTATCTATTGTTTTATGAACATGCCATGAATTTACCTTTAAGATTTTGAAACAAATATTAAATGATACTGTCTCCGGTGAAACCTCTCACCCTCTGCATCTTTGGCCTGTAACCCAGTTCTGTATGAATAAATAAATAAATCTTTAAAAAAAATTTTTTTAACAAAAAAAAATAATAATTCTTAATTGAGTTGATATTTGGATACCTCCATCAGTTATTGCCACAATAGTTCACCCACCACGATCCCCCCATCCCTTGGAAATGAAATTTAAGTGTTTTCCCTAAGATGAATATAGAATTTTGACTCAATCTTCCAAACAATAGTCACAAAAAAGGAAAAGGTAAACACACCAAATATGAGTACTTTATTTATAGGGCCATTACATAACACCAGATGAATAATAGCAGAATGTATTGAAAACTTATTCACAATTATTGAAAATATTGGAATATTTTTATCCCAGTAAAAGACAGGAAATATGTTTTATCAGAAACCAAGGGAGAACATTTACCACACTATTGAATATTAAAGTCCATTCCTAAGGAAAGTAACCTTTAATCTGATCTTTTTAGTTTTTAGAAATTGTGAAGGTAATTCTTTAATCTGTGAAAATGGTTGGAATAGTAATTATGGTTACAAATTTAAATGTTATATGGAGACTAAGTTATTTTTAGATAGAAATGCTTACAGTTTTCTAATCCCCTGGGCTGGCTATACAAAATGGATAGATAGTTGAGAAAATTAAATAATTTAAAACTTAACAGACTAACATGATTCAATCTATATGTAAAGCACAGAGATTTCTGAATTCGAATTTTAGTAGTCAGACAGAATGTGATAGCATTATGCAAATATTGTACACATTTTCTGGAAATTTGTAATTTCTAATGTGAAATGCTATAAATGCACTAAAGTAGGTGAATGCTTAGAAAAAAATGCAAATAACTTTAAAACTATAGATTAGATTTTTACCAATATAAAAATAAATATTCCTGAGCCAAACAACAAATGGTTCATATAACCAGTCACCTTATTTTGATAAGTGATACAAGGTATCATTTTTGGCATATTCTTTATTATACAAATGAAAATGTACAGAATCAGCGTACTTAGAATTTTATGCACTGCTAACATGTATTTTTCTGAAGAAGTTGACTTAGGCTAACCTTTTCCTGAATTATTTCAACAAATGTCCAAGTTATCTTTAATTAATAAGTTCTTAGCTATAAACCTTACATCCAATATATGGTCAGCATCTCTCTCATATACACACACAGACACAAAAAGTCACATGCGACAAACTGGTAGTTTCTCAAGGACACTCCATCCTCACCAGCCACGGACCACCCCGTCACCAGCTTTGTAACTGCAGAGTGCCAGCCTTGCTCCTATTTCCTTTCAACCCTGCAGGAGAGCAGGGTATGGACTTGAGAATGTCCACCTTTTACCATTGAATTGGTTATGAGCACTAACCACTGGTTCAGGTTACTCCTCACTGTTACTCTTACAAATCCCCCTTCAGGGTAACTCCAAGAATGTATTACATCACCTTTACTGCAAGTATTTAGCTTTGACCCCATTATCTTTCTTCTGAATCAGCACAGTGACCTCCTCTCCAGTGTGCTTCCCTTCTTACTTACAACCCAGTAGCCAGAATACGCTTTTAAAACATAAATCAGATCACGTCACATCTCCAGTCAAAACTACCCAGTGGTTCATCACTGTAAGGGAGCAAGTTCTCATAATAACTTAGAAGAGCTTAAAATACCTTGCCTTTTGTTACTTCTAGTACTTCATCTCCTGTCATTCCCCCTTTGTTCATTTTTCTTCAGGGAAGTTTATTTCTAAAACCCATCAATACCTACTAATACACGGCCTTTTCTTAAATATTTTTTTGGTCTAAAATGTTCTTTAGCCAGATGCCTACATGCCTCAGTTCTAAAATTCTTTGCTCAAATATTATCTTCTGAATATATAACTTACTGACCTCTATGTTCTTTTACCCTGTTCTCATCCAGGGATCTTCAGTGTCCTGCCTTTTTTTAATTCCATAGTACTTACCTTTATTAAACTGCCATATAATTTAGTCACATATTATGTACATTATCTATTGTATTCTTAATCATGTTCATAAATCTCTTAATCGTGTTCATAAATCTACACTACTGTAATCCTGACATCCATCATAAAGTGAATAATTTTTTAAAAGAAGCAATGTCAATTGAAAGCATTTTTTTTAAAGATTTATTTATTTTTATTTATACATACAAGAACTGGGGTATAGGCCAGAGATGTGGTGGGTGAGAAGATTCACCAGAGACAGAGTGGGAAGCAAAACAAGCAGATCTATTGAAATACACTGCTGAGGGGAGTAGTAGGTGAGACTGGAGAGGTCTGCTGTGCTATGTAGATTAATTCCTTGGCTGGGGGTCAAACTTTTGTCACAGTGGCTAGCAATACCTTGCTAGCACTGAAACTTTAACCAGTGTGTCACCAGGGAGGCTTGTTAATTGAAAACCTTCAAAATGCATAGCAATAGTATATTAATCTTAAAAATTACCGTATTGCAAGTTATTCTTTTCAATCTTAGTATTTAATTCACGGAGATTAAAATACTTTTACATCCAGAGAGATCCCATTTTTCTCAACTTTTATCCTGAGTGCCTCACATAAATCTCCTCATTTGCCTGTGTCAAATTTTGGCCCCAGCTGTTCTCTGCACCATAGTCACACTAATTTTTCTTTAGTGTTTTTAAACAAACATCTAGTGAGATAATATTGTTTTATAACATTGTAAGTTTCAGATGTACATTAGCATTCACATCATGATCACCACTAAGTTCTAATTTCTGGCATCATACAGTTGCTCCCTTTACTCATTTTATCCACTAACTAAATTCCTCTCCATCTGATCACCTCCAGTCTATTTGTTATATCTAATATTGCGTTATTGTTCTATTTGTTCATCGAGTAAGATTATATCTGTCTGTTTCCTTCTGACTGATTCCTCTTAGCATAATTCCCTCATATATATGTTGTCATAAATGGCAAGACTTCATCAGTTTTAAAGCTGAATGGTGTTCCACTATGTATGTATACAGTGTGTCTGTTCACCATTACTCCCTATAATTCCTTCGAATGGATTGCCATTGAAAAATTGCTGGTTTATAAGCATCTCCATTATACTCATCCTCCCCCATACACATACATCTTGAACATATTCAATGCATGAACATATGTGTACACCTACATACATACATACACAACCATAAGGGCACAATTTTTACAGCCATAAATAGACCATATATCATTTCTATGATTGTAATTTCCTTTCACTTTAGTATGTTTGTGTATATGTCTCCCTTAATTATCTTGATGAACAAAAGCTCCTTCATTAGGAAGATATCTCTTTCACAATTATTGTTACCATTGAAATTTGTTTTGATCTAGCTTAGGCATTAGATAGCCCTCTGCCTACATAACATAATTTCAGGTCTTTCAAAAGGCCTAATTGATCCACCCATTACTGTTTGAAGGAATGACTCACAGGGAGATTGACTATATGGAGAATGTCAGTTGTTTGTCAAAAAATCAGTCTATAGGGAGAGCTCAGTCATTGTTATTACAGTTCTATTTAGATTTGGAAGTTAGTTAATTAAAGGAGTAGTAAAACACAGGACACAAGCTTCATTGAAAATTATATATCAGTTTCAACATTTCATGTATTTGCACACACACATATATTCACAATCTGAATTAATTTGATGGATGAGAGACTGCTATATATGAGCCTACTGTATTACTATATATTCATATACATCCACATTCACAAGTATATATAGCTGCTACACAGGCTGGATATTACTGTTCATCCACAGGATGCTTACCTATTTATTCTGGAGACAAACTATGTTTGATTCTCTGAATTATTTTGCTGTGTTTCTTGTCTGAATCTCCTTTGTTATTGATAGATGGTTTATCCAATTAAAGTCAACTTTTGTCATTTTAAGGAATGGGTTGTAAGCCAGCAATATTGATCAAAGAAATGTGAAATCCTTTAGATGTAATGATTAGGACCCAGGCGAGAGAGGAAAGCTGAACACATATACCATTATATCAGAGGACAGAAACTAACGAAATACTGGAATGTTGACCAGTATTTGATATGCTATGTCTCTTTAATTTTTAAGAAACACTCAATTTTGGATTTTTTTTTTATTGAGGTAACATTGGTTTACATCATTGTTTGAATATTAAAAGTATAGGCTCTCCCCACATACATCACTCTCTACTTGCATCATAACCACACTCACCACCAAGATGCCCACAGTCCACTACCATGCTCCATTGTACACCCCTCACACCATGCTCTTGCTCCTCTTTATAGGTTCTTAATTTTAAAGTTGGCATCTACTTAAATATTCATTTGAACTTTTTAAATTATAATTTTGTATCTCTTCTTTCAGATAAATGTACATTACATCTGAAGTGTCGTGGTTATTTAAATTGTAAATATCTGAGTTGCCCTACTTGATTAATTTCAGATCATTCATATGGGGGGAATAAAATAAAAATACTCCTTTTAAGAATCAATATGTTTTTTGGGGGGTTACCAATTAATGCCTGAAAAATCCATAAGTAGCAGTAAACACATTCTAAAGGCTATATAAAATTTAGACATATAGTTTGGATAATATATTAAATTGTTGCATAATTTAAACATACAGACATTAAAGACTTTTATAGATTAGCTGATACAAAGCCTTTATTGGATTCATTATCTAATTTATAGAGGAAGTAGAGCTAGGTCTTAAATGAAGCTTCTGTCTCCAAATTTAGGGTCCTTTCTAGTAGTAGTTGTTGTTTTTTTAATTTAAAAATTTATTTTTTTCATGAATATAGAACTAGGTTATAGGCCAGAGGTGTAGGGGTGGTGAGAGGATTCACCATAGACAGAATGTGGAGAAGAACAGGCAGATTGATGAAGCACACTGCTGAGGGGCACAGTGGCGAGACAGGAGAGGTCTGCTGCCATGTGGGTAACCTCCCTGGCCAGGGATCAAACTCATGCTGCAGTGGCTATGATAGCTTCATAGCGTTATACTTTAACCTTTTGGGCCCTCTAGTTTTTTTAATGATATATTTTATTTACCTCTTAGTGTGACTGAAGGTTTTTAAAGCCAGTTTTGCTCTTTATGGAGAGAATAGTTCAATCATAAGAAATAATTCTAAAGAACACTAAGCCTGCTACAACATGAGTAAGATGTCTTACAATAGTGACTCTACACTCCAGACAAGTTTATTCATGTTTAAAAAAATTTGCTTGAGAGTTACATACTTTCATTTCTTTTTACCCAGTGAATGTATCTAATTCACGATTCTAATGTGTGTAAATACAGTTTTATGAATGAAATTACCTGTTATTCTTCAGAATAACTGAAGTTGCAGAAAGAAGCTTGAACTTTATCCATGAGTGGTCCTGTAACTCTTATACTGTCTCTGCTCTCTATATAAATTTTTCTTTGTTCTTTATATTCCTTCATTGCTATGTGTTTCTGCATTGAAATGAGAATCATCTCGATATCTTATAACATTAATAATACATAGAATTTAGTAATTTTCAACATTTACATAGTCATTGTTTTATTTATATTTCTTGGTCTATTGAGACTTAATATGATTCATATTTGTGAACAAAAACTGTGAATAACATTTTTATCTGCACAATGTCTTTAGAGTTTTTGACATCTTTGTTTTAGTAATATTAGGAGATAATTAACTTCAATACAACTGACCAAATTTTCTTTGATGTACACAAATTTGGAAAAACTCCCAAATAATTATATGACCACCTCAATTCATCCTTGTGTTAAATGCATTTCTTAGAGCACTTTGCTAAACATAGGAAATGTGATAAAAGAAAGACTGCGCCTTCATGGCTAAATACTTGAACTCCCCTTTCACAGGTTTTCCTCTTTTCCTTGATTTAAAACAAATGTCCCTACTAAATCATATATTTACTTTACTGAAGCTGGAATTTTCACAGATACCCTACAATCCACTGTTTTAAAGGGCTGGTAGTTTAAAGCAGTAGCCTCTAATTTTGTTACAATCAACCTGCCAATTTTTCTGTAAGATTTAAGTGTTTCATTTATTCAACTAATGCATCTCTTCAAAGAAGATTGCCTATTGCCTAAGGCCTCAAAACTTCATGTCTTTAAAGAGCTTAATCGGAAAGAAATCATATGCCTGAAAAAGCCATCATGATGCATCTTCTATTTTGTACAACAGTATGAGTAATGCCTTTTGCTGTCAAGGTAACCAACCACATGTTTCTGCAGCCTCTTAAGCATGGCACATTTTATTTGTACTTCTAGTTCATTGTCCTTTTGTCCAGTGAGGGCCAAATGGACAAAGGAAAATTTTGTGTTTTCTTATTTCCAGTCATATATATGTTTGGTTTTGCTAGAGCTCCTTTGGAAGAAAGTGTTTAACTTTTGTTTCTATTTTTCCCCTCATGAGACTTACTCCTAAAACCTCTCCTATTTTCCCACTCTTTATATTTACTTGAATGTGAATTTGAACCTTTCATAAACTGCTGTTCATTCTGTCAGAATCCATAAGGAACAAGGTCCACTGTCCATCCAATATTCATTCAAAATTAGTCTCTTTTTTATTATATAATACTAATCAGTCACAATTCTGGTCAAGTTGTGAACAATAAAGGGAGATTATTTTATTTCAATGGAAGTCACTATAAAAAGCTATTTCCAAATATAATCTTAGGTTTATTGACAAGAAGACTATTCAATTGCTGTCTTATCTTTCCCTACCCCTTCTTGGTCAGTACATCTCTCTTCTCTGTCAAGGAACACTGAGCATTCAGTATGTGATGACTCACTGAGGATGAATATCTCATAACAGCTTCACTCTGTTGCTTTTATTTTCCAGGAATAATGATCTTGTCACTAATGATTTATGACTTCAGGTTGAATTTATTGGATGTGACCATTTTTTAACCACATATTCTAACTACTCTAGTAGGTACTGGAATGGCATTAAGGATTCTGTGCTCTAGAGAACCAGACACTAAATGTATAGGTTTAAGTGATTTTTTAACTCATCAGTGTTCTCTTATTCAGAGCCTTGACAAGTAACATATTTCCCTCTTCTAACCCAATTTAATCCATTCTAATCTAATTTCTTTACACTAGAAATATGACCTAATCTGAATTATCCTTCAAGAATTTGCTATTAGTAGATTATCCACCAGTCTGCTTACATGAAATAAATGTATTGCTAAATCAAATATTTGAATGCTCTAGAAACACTGGGACTTGGCTTCATAGAGCAGTCTCAGTTGAAAAGATTAGGGTAGGGAGATAATCAGACTTTTCTTGAGTTTGAGTGAAATAAATAAAAGGAAAATCATAAATTAAAAAAATTGGAATATTGCATAAAATATATCAGCAAGGATTCCACTAAGATAGAAAATAGTATGTGTATATTTATATCTGATGAAGGGACAATAGTTATTTTTCTATGTTTATTCTGGATAACCAATATCATTTATTTTGTAAACCAAAAATTTACTGATATTTAAAAAGTATAAATATGCTCTAAACAACTCATAATAATTTTCCATTATTTTTATACATAAATTTATGATGTATACCAATATACATGTGTCATTTGTTGATGTATTTTAAATTCTGCAAATACATTTAAATGATACTGGCACTTTTGAAAAAAAAATTATGGTTTGATTATAACATATTTTATGTGCTATCCATCCATCTATAAATATTTTTTATATTGGCAGTTCTAGAACATATTGAATACAGGCTGATTTATATTTATATCACTATAAGATTTCACTGAGTAGAAGGGTATATTTTGGTTAGAGTTGAAAAGTGGGATACTATAAAGTTATATAATTTCATTTTTAAATCAATAACTACAAAGATTGATAATACAGATTACTAGAAATTTTTATGGATTCTGTATTTAGTTCAAGGCATATTACACTTTCTCACACATCACACCATGACTTAAAATTTCTATTTCTTGGCCTCTCATCTTCTTTTTTGAGAAGTTCAGTTGATTCTCTTTTTATCCAAGTCTACACCTCCATAAAATTTGTTCAGTAATAAGCCACATGTTGAAAAAAACAAATCTATGTCATTAAAGACTCATATTTCCACTAGTTGCCAGGCCCTAATGATGCTATTACACATTGACTACATGTCTGGTTGTAATCACCTTCAAATAATTGTTTCTATACTTGATATAAAACCACTGGGAATTCCTTCTCACTTTTGGTTATGCACAATAAACCTGACCATGTCAAATTAATTACTACACTAGTTCCTGATCAAGTTAATTGAAGGGCACAGAGCACACATTATTTTCCTTGCTATCTGTTCCCAATGAACTCTCTTAATCTTTGTCTCAAATAATATTAAGCAGGAAATCTAAAAGGATGCAATATAAATAAGAAAATTTAATATCCCTCAAAATATATTTAATACATGTCTATAATATATCTTTATATACCAATATTTCTAATTCTTTAAATCAAAGTATATATGATGAGGCTGAAAAATAACTTATTGGAAAAACTATATATTGGCACAAAATCAGAAAAAAATTCTGCCATCATCTATTACACTAAGTATTTATATATTTTAAGACTCAACATTTCTATTCCTTGTCAAAAACCCTGCAGAAATGAGTATTTGTATTCACCAAAAGACATGTATATGAATATTCATGACTTTAGTTGTAATGCCTAAAACTATGAATAAATAAAATGAGTATCATCAACAAAATGGCAACCGAATTGTGATATACTCATAAAACAATAACACCAGCAATAAAAAATATTAACTGACATGTATTATAATAGGAATGAATTTCATAGACATGAGCAAAAGTAGTCCAAAATAGAAAAGTATGATTCTACTTATATAGATTTACTTAAGCTAATTGTTAGTGTTAAACATCAGAATATAGTTATTCTCAAAATAATACTAGCTGAAAGAAAGAGGTCACAGTTGAACCATCTACAATTTGGGGAAAATTCTAGTAACAGTTAATTGTGATAAACTTCTCTAGAGTGATAGGTAGAACTCCACTGGGCTGTATGCTTAAGGATTGTGCAGTTACAAATCCATAAAAATCAATAATAAAAAGAAATTAGGTTAGGTATTTACAAAATAATTGTAACAATTAACACCTGACCATGATAATAGGCTTGCCCTGTGATCCCAGTGTACAGAATACATACAGAAATGGAAAATCCCACTAATTTGCTTTTAAAAAATACTAGTTCATTTCTTTTTTTTTTTCTTTTCTTTTTTTTTTTTTTTTTTTTTTTTTTTGAATTTAAAAGGCCCAGAGATATCGCAGTTGACTGGGTTGCTGGGAATGTTTATTGGACTGATCATTCTCGAATGCATTGGTTCAGTTACTATACGACTCACTGGACCAGTCTGAGATATTCTATCAATGTGGGGCAGCTGAATGGACCCAACTGCACCAGACTCTTAACAAATCTGGCTGGAGAACCCTATGCTATTGCTGTCAACCCGAAAAGAGGGTAGGTCATGTTGTGATATTTGTATTTCTTAATGTGAGTGCCTATTTTTGCAGATGATCTCATCTGTACTCAGCAGTTTTGTTCCCTAAAGTGTTCAGTATATAATGGGTTCACAAAACTAAAAATCACTTGCCTCTTTATGCTATTTTTACACTAAATAATGGTATATTTTTTTTCCTGAGCTGTATTATGCAGTCAATATGAATTTTCAAGATTTAAAGCATAGCATTAAGCAATTAAGCATAGTGGTTTGGTGTTTTCAGTATTTGTGATAGTAAACGATAATGCCATGTGTATAATAAACTAAAGTGATCACTCATTCATTTTTGTTTATAAGTAATGATCAAAAAGGGAAATAGGAAATGCTAAATAAAACTTCTGATTGCCCATTAAGTATTTCATTGGATCCTATGTAAAAAAGGGCAACTGTTCACATTGCCTTGCAGCAACATGGATGGAGCTAGAAGGGATCATGCTTAGTGAAATAAGCCACAAAGA